TATGTTATAGCAACAATATCAAATGAATTTGTAGGCGAAGGAGTTTAAAAAAATGACGGAATATGATGTGCAACATGAAATTGTTATCGTGATAAATTACATATATGCATTTTTATTGCATTAAATAAGTCAGTTCAAATGCAAGAAATTTCTCAAAATTATAGTAATGTATATATGGAGTAATGTAAGAAATGATGATACTATTAGACTGCCTAAAACATCAGACAAATATAACAGAAAGCCGAGTGCATACTGTTAAATCATCGCCCCAATATATAACTACTACTCCTTTGCCATAAACACATTTAACAAGTAATATGAGCATCTTTAGATGAGTCTTGAAATCTCTCTTAACTACGTGTAATCCAGGAAAATGTTAACAGTGTGTGTAGACTATCCTTAGTAATATCTCCGATTGTTGATTGAACTGAATAAAACCTGTCTACATTTTGAACTTCCACACAAGGTGCTTCTTTTGAAGGACTATACGTTCCGAATTAGTTATCTAATCCCGGCATATATACAAAGCTGTGTATATTACCCACTGAGTGAAGATAAATCATACAACTCGGTTGCGTAAACTGTGGTTCGAGAAGCAGTATTTGAATGAATAAAACCGCACATGCGTAAATAATGAGTCACAAAAAGCATAAGCTCATGACTTCATGACCCGCATAAAATATCTAATGCAATAAAGAATTGCTAATTAGGACGAAAAAGTGAGTGACTAAGAACACAGAGTGCAGTAACTGGAAACCAAGCTACTCTATTGCACCGACAATGTTTAGATCTTTACTCAACGTTTATTCATCTCAGGAATCTTTAAGTCCACTTACAACACTACAAGTGGTTCTAGGTTAGTGAACAGTTTTCAAACAAATACCGAATTATATGATACAACAGAGAATAGTAACAAAATTCAGCACATCAGGTTTCCCATGGATTATAAGTAATCAATCAGCAGTGCTGTGGATATTTTAAAGATAATGGCTCAAAGTTTTAATCGACAGTCTACCTCTTTCTAAATAACTGCTTCAACGAAGATACCTAATTAAGAGAACTGGAAGTAAATTTGTTTAATAGACAGATATAAAAATATTATTTATATTGATATATGTGCAAACAATTTCTTATAGTAATTTTGGGGAACTTTCATAAAATTAACTTAAGTCTAAAAATTTTTTTGATTTGGTTACCAAACAACAGAAAGTTTAGAAATCGAAAATTAATACACACATTTATACGTGTAGTCTAAAAAGTATACACATATATGAGAAATAAATATTCAGTCAATCATCAAACTGCGGATCAATAATGTTCACTAAGACAAATAATATCATGTTATCTCATATTCATATTACAAAATAAGAATACTTGAATATTTTCCTTTTAATGACCAAACAGAATGTACGATTCCTAAGTGATTAGTTTTGTTCATCAAAATAACCAAGAAACACTAATACTGTATAACGAACGAAAATCAAAACGGGATGAGGAAGGTTAAGTGGAATTCAGTGATATCAATTTAAGACTAGTATAATAGTCTTTACTCCATAGATTACTGTTACGTATACAGTTACTTACTTACTTACGCCTGTTACCCCCGATGGAGCATAGGCCACCCACCAGTTTTATCCACCCAACTCTGTCTTGGGCTTCCCTTTCCAATTCTGTCAAATTTTTGTCCATTCTTCTCATATCTTTCTCTATTTCTCGGCGCAATGTGTTCCTTGGCCTTCCTCTTTTCCTTTTTACCTTGAGGGTTCCAAGTGACAGCTTGTTTTGTGAGGCAGTTCAGTGCTTTTCGTAGTGTGTCCTATCCACTTCCACAGCTTCTTTCTGATTTCCTCCTCCACTGGAATCTAGTTTGTTCTCTGTCACAGTAGATTGTTGCTGATGGTGTCTGGTCAACGGATCCGAAGTATTTTGCGTAGACAACTGTTAATAAACACTTGTATTCTCTGGATGATGGCTTTGGCGGTTCTTCAAGTTTCCGCCACATACAGTAGAACTATATTGACATTTGTATTTATAATTCTGATTTTGGTTTTGGTTGAAAGTTGTTTGGAGTTCCAGATATTTTTCAACTGTAGAAATGCAGCCCTTGCTTTCCCGAGCCGAGCCTTCAAATCTGCATTAGATCCACTTTGCTCGTCAGTGATGCTGCTTTTTACAACCTCAAAAGCTTCTCTATCAAGTGCGATTTGGTTGGCGCATGTTGTTGTATCGGAGAATCTTGCTTTTCCCCTTGTGTATGTTGAAACCTGATGTTGCTGCTACACTGGCTGTCTTCGCTTGCATTTGTTGTTGCGCGTGCGAAAGAAGAGACAGATCATCTGCGAAGTCTAGATCGTCCAGCTGCATCCTGGTTGTCCACCGTAACCCGTGCTTCCCTTCCGATGTTTCTGTCTTCATAATCCAGTCAATCAGCAGGAGAGATAGGATGGGTGTGAGTAAGCAACCTTGCCTGATACCGGTCTTCACCTCGAACGAGTCTGTCAGCTGTCCTCCGTCAACGATTTCGCAGTGTTATCCATCATAGCCATCTCGTATGATGTTGACTGTTTTTCAGGCACGCCATAGTGTCGGAGAAGCCCCCATAGTGTTGTCCTGTCCACGCTATCAAATGCTTTCTCGTTGTCAGTGAAATTGATGTAGAGTGGTGAGTTCCATTCAGTTTATTTTTCCGTAATGATCCTTTTTTGGTAGGTACACGATCGATCCTTACGAAATCCAGCCTGTTGATTTCAAACTTGGGCGTCTACAAAGTCCTTCATCTTGTTTAACAGCAGCTCTCCTGGAGTTAGTCTTAGTTGTCCAACCTATGTCCAATGTGTTTCACTGATTGCAAGTACCTCCAGGTTGTATCTTTTCATCTCTGCAGCAATTCGGAACAGTCTCCTGGTCTCCCACATTGCTCGAACATTCCATGTACCTGAAACAACGGTCGCTCTGGTTGTCAGAAGGGGTATCGGCCCTCTTGAATTCCGAAGGAACTCGGTTTTTGTCATGAGACGTCATAACTCTTCTGGAAGAAGGCCTTCTAACTCCCAGGGCAGAGTTAAAATAGTTTGAATTATTTTTCTGGTCAGCGTCTTTTCAACGAGTTAGTTTTCTACGGGATGGGGTCGCCAACCCCATGCCCAATCCAACTCCCTTATCTGGGCTTGGGACTGGCAGTAACCCTAGAGGGGCTTCAGGCGGAGTTTATGTGTACAGCTGCCATCCACAAAACCTGATGACGGCTAAAGAATATATCAACTAGTTTATGTTCCACAAGAAATTTTGAAGACTACCATCTGTTAGCTGTTCGGCCTATCCATCTTCTGTTTACATGTTAATCTACCTCACAGTCAGTCAGTCAGTCAGTCAGCAATAACGTAGAACTTCGTACGTAAGTATATCAGTTCAAGGTGCCATACCACGGCAACAAATAGATGCAATTTCCGATTCAAACCCCATAGTGGTTGATAGTGGGACATAGATTGGATTACAGCATGATTGCGATTGCACGCTGATTGGCTCTTTCGTATGCAATCAGCTCTAGCCGATTCTGAGGGGACATTCTATAATCTTCTCGTGTAAGGAAACTATAAATATACCAACGTCTTTCTCCCTTGGAACTTCTGTTTTCCATCTAACCTTGTTATTGGAATATAATCTATTTCCTGTTTAACTGTGGGAGAGAACGTCTGAAGTGAATTGCTGTCCAAGAATACTAAGCATTAGGAATAGCTGGGTTGTAGTAAAGAGAGAATTATAACAGTGGTAGAGGTAGTAAAAGTATGGGCAGTAATCGCGAAGATTAGGGTTTGAAGATGTTATTCAAGGAGTAAAATCCAGTGAAATAAATTTGAGAAGAGGAAGATGAAGGTCATGAGGAATTTAGGTCAGAATTTGGGAAAACACAATTTCTTACGCATATATATATATATATATATATATATATATATATAGCGCGGTTTTATCATCTACTAGTTTCTCGTTCCATTCCAACAGAACGAACGTTACTGATTTAGGAAAACAGTATAACAACAAACAATTATTGACAAGACATGGTAAAATAAAAAGAATTTTCTAATTATATGAAGTGCTTTAGGTAATCCTTTATCACTAACAATGACGATTTAAAACTATGGAGGTTTAACCCAAAATATGAGTTAAATCAATAACAGTTTGTAATTATATTACAATGATATTACCCATCAAGTACGGAAGTTTTGATATTCTGTGAAAACTAAAATGTCTCTAAATATGCATCAATGAATAGAGTACCAGGTAAAATAAATGTGAGAACCTATTAAGCACGTATTCTGAGAATGAGAGGAAAATGTGCATGAACTGAAAGGACGATGTTAAGTAGTCAGTCAGTCAGCTTCAACGTAGAACTTCATAAGTGCGTACATCAGTTCAAGTTTCCATACCACATTAGCACATGGAGATCGAATTGTCGATTCGCATCCCATAATAGTATAGGTAGTAGAAGTATTAGCTGTAATAGAAAAGATTAGTGATCGAAGATATCATTCGAGAAATATATCCCAGAGGAATCAATCTAAGAAAGAAACGGTCGTGAAGAATTCGAAAGATTAAAATTTGAGAGAAGACAAAGAATCAGCACACAAGTGTCATCACAAACGATTTCGAGCCATGTCATTTAAGATCTCTAACCATCAGTTACTATCATCTTGCACACTCCGACCAAGTAGTCTAAACTTACCAACATGACTTAGTTCACTTGTCAGTGACTTCATGGACTAGTGCCATGTTTTGGTTTGGCCGCCCCTAGCTTTCTTCCAGCCTAGCCCTACACTAGACACCTCCACTCGCCTATAACACAAGATATTTTAACATCACACTATAAAATATGTTGACAAGACAGAAAATAAAGGCACAATAATAGTAGGTTTACATACATGCATTTCTTACACGATATTAGTATTTGTTAAGTAAACTGACTTAAATACCTAGTAAGAACATATGAAAATTTGAAAACCTACCTCTATAGAACGCATTTGGTCCTCTTGGTTCAAAGCTAATCCCAATTCTTGGACTTCATAATCTTGAGAGGCAGAGATTTGTGCTTGAATAAGCTGGCCTGTATCGGTATCACTTGAATCTAAATTAATCAAATCTCCAACAAGTGAGGAAGTTGGTCGACTTTCAGTAAGCAGTCGCCTTTTTATTTCCTAAACCAAAGGATAATCGGAAATCACACACCATAGCTATTACTAAAAGATTTAGGGTGGTATCAAAATGGGTATATATGTATAAACACATATACATAACTGATAAGTTTAAATTTCGAAAACTATATTTATGGCTTTAACGATTGTGACTATCCTCAACTTTAACTTCACGAATCATTCTACCTCAAACATGAGCACATCTTTTTACTGACAGCAAGAATACAATTTAGTACGTTCAAACAGTTAAAAGATGACTCGTCAAAATGAACATAAATAAAGTACCAGTAATGATAAAGTAAATCCATAGGAGAAACTAAATTTTCGAGGATCGTGATGAAAAGTGTCTGCTACGGAAATTCGTTAGACGCAAGCAAGGAAAGCAAAGCGAAGCAGTTCATTGTTTTATTTCTCGGTGCTAGCGAGTACGCGATTTCGTTTACATAATATAATGTTTTTATGCAGTCTACAGTTACTGCCTAGTTACACTAGGATCGAATGACTAACTGTATCACGATTTTCAACTGATTTCATAAAATATGCAAGTGAGAGAATGATCCTGCACTTAAGCAACATTGCAGAAACCTTAGAAAATCATGATCTAAGATTAAAAAAATAAGCACAAATATTAGTTAGATCGCATTTTTCGATATAACTTTAATTTTATTCATTAAAGGGCTTCAATAATTATCATTTTTTACATTTCTAAAATTTGTCTTATCAGAAGTTACCAACTGCTATTTTATTTGAACTCACTGATCGACTAACAACCTTTTAACACTTTGAGTGAACAATAATCATGTATATTGAATAGGCCTATTTTAAGAAAAGAATTTTATCTTTTCCTTACAACCTTCAATGATTAGCTCTACAAACAAAATTTTGCATTCGGTCTTTTTAAACACCTATACAAAAAAATATTGTTCGCTTTATGATATGTAAATGGTGACAAAGCTAAACAAAAAAGTATTCTCTGGCTGAACCATTTATTTCATGATTAAAACGTCCCCATCATGTTGCAGGAAATTCGATACTGTTAGACACATGTAATAAGATTTAATAGTCGTTTTGTTTAGGAGACTTTATTTTTACCTATTTTAACACAAACAATGGTACAAAGAGCCACGGAAATATATGTGCGCCACACAATAAAAATGAGTGTGAAGAGGTAAAGAAAGGAAGGTGAGTATAATGAAAAAACAGTGAAAGTAATGGGGAAAGCACCTCAATTAACAAAAATACAACAGGAAATAATCCTTTCACTTAAATAAATTCGTATCACATACGAAGATAGTAAACGAGAGTCACAACAAGATAGCCATTGGCTTTTATTCTGAGCTGTGCCTGATAGTCTCAAACCACTTAGTTGTACTAGCTCTAGGATCTGAACCAGGAAGTCGTGAAGGTCCAATGGATGCCAGTCCTGTAAAGCTTTCTTCCTTCCCACGAAACCATGTCATACACTGACTAGTTCTCCGCCTTTTCTGACCAGTCCCAGAGTTGACAAATAATGCACGATGTAGAATTCGCTAGAACGACACTCGTAGTACATATCGAGGTCACTGAAGTAGGTATTTCAAGATGCTGGCACCGATTGAATTATCGTTGCTGTGTCCAAATTCACGTTCCGAAATAGTCTCCTCTCATCGTCGAACTTGCGGTTATTCAAAGTAGCCCGAAGTGTCTCAAGGAGTTTTAAGGTGCTTAGAGAAATCCAGTGCTTCTAAGCGCGATGCCACAAGTAACTTTATTCACCATTTACGTGGCGTCATGTAGTTGTAGCCAATGCTTATCTATACTCTTCGTTGGGTCCACAACCACTCTTAAACCTAGCTCGGTTTTAAACTTAGCTGCAACAGAAGTTGCAACTTATTTGCTGACATCGACCTGTTTAGGAAGATGAATTTGTTGGCCACTGAAACGTAAGATAAGATTAGCGCAAACAAAAGCACGACCAGAGTACGAATAAGTACTCTGAAGGGAGCAGCAGACGTACACAACCACCCCGATGGTAGCTGATAGTGATATGCACAATCTGATTGCAGGCTTGACATCTATAAGAGAACGCCACGCAGAAAATTGACGATGACTGTGACGATAAGTAATGCTAGCCAGGAACACGTAGTCGGTGCAATGTTGCAGTGGAAGGCCTGACCTACGACCAACAAGTCCCCACTGGCTACCCAAACGTCCGACCTGAATATTCAAATCGCCCGCTAAAACTACGATATCTGTTAGATACTCTTCAGAGGAGATTAAGTAGTTCATTGTAGAACTCATGCTCGATTGCATCCGATCTGCAGTGTATTGAGGCGTCGGCAGAGATAACTAAAATACATCGTGTCCGCACAGATGTGTTCACACTGATAGAGCTTTTTAATCTAACAACATATAATCGACTATCAATGGGGATCCAATCAATAAGTGTTGCCTCGGTTCCAGGGCCTAGTGAAACACTGATGCCAACAAAACTAGATGACGATGCGACAGGGTATCCGGGTAAACCCATGTGAAACAGGTTTTCGAAGTAGTAGATAGAAAGCGAATTCGTAATACTATATTGGAGCCTCTATGAATCTCAGATAAACAAGAGATATCAATACTAAGACTTTCGAAGACAGACAGATACAATACAGAACTTCGTACGTAAGTACATCAGTTCAGGTTGCCATACCACATCACCACAGAGACGCAACTGTCAGTTCAAATACAAGAGTGATAGCGATAGTAAAAGTATTAACAGTAATGGAGAAGATTAGGGAGCAAAGATATGATTCGAGAAGTATAATTCAGTAAGATAGATTTATAAGGAGAAAGGTAAAGATTATGAGGAATTCGGGTTAGAATTAAAGAGAACACAAAGGGTGGATGCACCTGCGCCATTGAAAACGATTTTCAGCCAAGTCGTTCAAGGTCTCTAACCATTGATGACTATCGTCTCGCGGACCCCAACCAGGTAGTCTACATCTACCAACATGACTCAGTCCACTTGTAAGTGACTTCATGGATTTCCACCATGTTTTGGTCTAGCCGCCCCTAGCATTCTCCAACCTACTCCTACACCACAAATCATAGCTCGTCGAGGCAGTCGGTGGTTGGGCATACGCAACACATGTCCCAACCACCTCAACTGATCAAGTTTCACCACTTCATCTATTGATCTGCCATCCTTACCTAGTACTCGTTTCCTAACAACAGCATTGCTTACTCGGTTGTCCTACGGTATACAAGCAATGCTTCTTAAACATATATGATCGAATACTAGTAGCCTACGAATATCTTCTACTCTAACTGGCTATGTTTCACAGCTATATAGTACGACGGAGTGAACTACTGCGCAGTAAACTCGTCCTTTAGTCAGCGAACGGATATCTCGCCTGTACCATAGGTGACGCAGGCTGGAAAAAGCAAATCGAGCCTTCTGTATCCGAGCTGAGATTTCGTCAGTCACCAGGCCGTCAGCACTGATGAGACTCCCAAGATAAGTGAAGCGGTCTACACGTTCGACTACTTCACTCCATATCACTAGTTCCGATGAAGTCGCAAGCCAATCCTGAAGCAACACTTTGCATTTCGAGGAGCAGAGCCGAATCCCAAACATGCTTGCATTGTTGCTCAGGGTAGTCAGAAGACTCTGCATTTTGTCAGCGTCTTCACCAAATAGAACTATGTCGCCGGCGTATTCTAAGTTAGCAAGCGATTTTCCTGATAGGAATTCGACTCCTGAAAATTCAGACAAAGATAATGTTATATTTAGCAGCATGTCTATGACAAAACTAAACAAGAATGGGGAAAGTTAGCATCCCTGGAGGACACTGAGACTTTCTAAAGACGTAGACAACCTTATATGATATTCGACCTGTATTAGTGTACGAACGTCAGAAGCAAAATTGAGTAGCACACGTGATTTCGGAGGGATTGGGTTAGAATTAGCATTTGGTGATGGACTTTAACTTTCCACTTGTCAGTGACTTGAGATCGTTTACATAGGAAGGAATTTCCACCTTAGGCGAGCTGCTGTGAGTTAAAAACAAAGGAATATAAGAATGGGAATAAAAAAGTGGTTCAATCCAAAGTAAGGACGGACGTCAACGATTAGTAGTATGATTTATAAGAGTGACGTTTGAGACAAGCATAGTTTTATCCGCAGTTGTCATTAAATTTGTGGGAGGGCTGGGGTACCACCTAGGTGCCCAAACCGAAGTAGGCGGTTTCCTTAAGTGACCAGTCCCCAAGCATTTGACGCAGAAGCCTAATCTACGAGGCAATGGAGCGAGACCAAAAGGTTTGGTTCTATGGTAGCAGGTGACCAAGAGTAGGTTCGTGAGCCGTTTGTTCCTTCGGGACCCTAGAGCTCATGTGGTCTGGGGAAAGCGTTTCCCAACTTTTCTAAATGAACCTTCAGCATCTATTAACACGGTTAAAACATCGAACAATCGCTTTCTGTCCTCTCAACTTCGTTACCATTCCACCACCAGAAAGCAATTTCGATAATAATCTATACTCGCCAAAACTCGATATGCATTCTAAAAACATGTAAAATGAGTACATTACGGAATGAGAAGTATGGACGATTAGTGTTATCTCAAGCAGTTTTTTGTTGTATATCGTACCATTCACTTGCATTGAGTCCCGTCATTTCCAACCCCTATTATGTAATTTATTCACTAATCAAACATCTTCGAAAACGAGTCATATTCTCACTACCATACATCAATATGGTTTCATCTTCGAAGACTTGAAGGAACTTTTACATCACTATACAGAAAAAACCGGACAAAACAATTTACTTTTTCCTCAATTCGATTGAGATCATTTTAATCCAGATTTTTCCTGCCCAGTAGTGTCTGTTGTGCGCTTTAGGTCAACCAAGGATTCACATCACGGTGATCTAATCTATGAAATTCGAATTTGCATAAATCACCTACGTATGTGGCAGCTGATTACTAGTGGTAAAAACACATCTTTTTGAGCAGAACTACTTGTAATGTTACCTTTTCGAAATCGGACTCAAAAAAGCCTAATTCCAACGTGATGAGAGACCACCTTCAGTTAAAATAAAAGAGTGATGTAAGACGACAGTGTAAAAATGCCCTATGAACTAGAGAAAAGAAAGAGAATGGTCAGTAGACTGAATTCAAGCTACAGATACAGGTGGTTTTCTCGTCTTTTCTATGTAAGAGCTTCAATCAATTACAGAATGATTGCAAATGAAAGGACTTTCTGAGCTTTTCAGTAAAATCGGTTTATTTAGAGTTATAAAAACAACCTTTGCTTTAAATTTATGGTCAGTGATCACCAGAAAATACATTCGTAGAATGTTATTAATTCCTACATTCTAGCTTCAGGACGTAATCAGTCTTTTGTTTATGAGGAATTTTATAAACAAAGTGTCAGTTCCTGAAATATCACTCACATGTTCATTACAATTCCAATTTTATCAAATGTTAAAGAAGCGGTAATCACATCTACAAACAAAAACAAAACATACTTCATGTTGGACACATACCAACATCCCTAGAGCGATCACAAGTTATGAATCAGATGAAACTCAACGCTTTAGATATTCATCAATTATTAATTACGAAACTGAATGAATGTTCGCCCCTTTTTAATACCCTTAGTGATTGGTTAGTAACTCTAAGTAGATAGTAAATATAGTGTACAGTATATGGTATATATCTGAATTTAGTTACTGAGTTTAAAGTCACAATAATGTAGTGATATTAAAGCAATAACATTTCAGAGTTGATCAAAGCATAGACAAAACCGTGAAATGATAACTGATACAAATAGTTTATAAAGCTGCCGTCAAACTTTTGAGTAAAATAAGTACCGATAATCTGAAGAATTTAGTCAGCTTATACAACTTATCAGAATATCAGAGAGCAAAAGTTACTAGAACACCGATCCCCTAAACTAGTTTTAATGACCAAAATAAAACGCCAAGAACTTACTGCTTGAGTTCTTTGGAAGCGGTGAATAACACGCTGAAAGTCGACTTTGAGCTTCTCAACATGAATTTTGGTTATCTAGAACTGCTCAGAACTATGACAGAAACCATACTTGATCAGATAAAGGATGCTTAGAAAGATTTATAAACACGTTTTTAGTTTCTTCAATTAATTCAAAGGCATCTTTCTCTCGTTTATTTCTACAACAGACATTTGAAGAGCGAAACACACCTACAGAAGATCTGATTGAGCCTTTGAATTTCCTCGGATACTAATGCTTTTGTTTAGCGTTTCTAACTCATTTGCTATTTGAATAGTTCAGTGACGGAAAAACAACATACCAATTAGACGTATCTTCAGTATTTTAGAAGAGATATCTTCAAAAACCTGGATGACAGCAGTAGTCTCTGTGATTATAGGTGAATATAAAGTACAACCATACGTGAAGATTGCGTATTGCTACCGAACCCACTATACATGGTCAATCATCGTACTTTCATTAACGGCAGTAATCAAATCCAGCAACCCGTTAGCTAAGAAAAACAGCCAGTGACCTTGAGGAACTAAAATTTCCGTGAGAAATTATACAATTCTCAATAACCCCGTAAATCAGACTTCAGTCTTCACTTAAGAAGGACAGAACGTCAATCAACCGTCAGTAGTCTTTGCGATTCATAACATAATAAAGGTCTGATCTCACTTTCATTGTTTCAACAGGAGATACTGGTATTGTGTAATCTGTTAAACAATTTCTCGAGAGCATTTACACGAGACTTAGATCTTGATCGGGTCTATATTGATGACCTGATAATCACATTATCAAATGTAGATGAACATAATCAGCATTTGACACAGTTATTCCAGCGTCTTTCAGATAATGCAATAATAGTCAACCCGGACAGGTGTGAACTTAGCAAATCGGAAATAAAATTATAAGGCCACTAGAGGGTATTTTACCCGGTGAGGACAAAGTTCGTGCAGTGATGAAGTACACTCTACCTTCCATAATAAAGAGACTGAAGGTATTCTTCCGTTTGGCTTACTTCTACCTCCGTTTCATCCCACATGCGACAGAACGGTTGCGACCATCAACCAACTTACTTCGCGGTAATCCACGTAAATTAGAATTGGACGATGCAGCGTGTACTACAGCTTCATAGATCCAAACAACTTTGGCTCAAGCCACACACCTCGCTCATCCTGACCCACTAGACGCGGTTGATGAATCGGAGTTTGTTATGGGATCTATAATGCAACAAAACGTCTCTGGAAGTTGGCAACCTCTCGAATTTTTCTCACAACGCTTCACTCCCGTGGAGACAAAATATAGAGCTTCTGATGGGGAACTCATAGCAGCCTACTGCGCCATCAAACACTTTCGGCACGCAGTAGAGGGTCGAGATTTCATCCTATTCACCGGTAGTAAACCCCTAATATATGCCCTGCATACTAGGCCTGATCGTTGCTAACCACGAGGGTGCAGACATTTAGACTATACCTCCCAGTTCAGGACAGACCATCATATTTAAGGCGAGTTAAACTATGTTACTGATGCGCAGTCACGTATCCAAATTAATACAGTTACTTCATCCGTACTCGATCTCCCTACAATGGCTACCGATCAAGTACACAATTCCTCTTGTGCCAGGAAGTGCCCTTAGTAACTAGCTCAGGTACTATACTGTGTGATAATTCTACTGGTCTACCTCCACACATAACACCCTCCGCTTATCGCCGCTTCGATTATGTTCACATAGACATTGTGAGACCATTGTCCCTGTTGTACGGTATGATCACATAGTCGGGTGTGTCAATCGTCTCACAAGTTGCCTCGAAGCTATTCTCATCACGTCTATTATGGCGGAGACATTTGTTCACCGCCTCGTAGAGAGATTGATAACGCTGTACGGTTTTCCCCCCACTGTCACGACAGACCGAGGACAACAGTTTCAGTCCAACTTATTCTCCTCGCTCACTCGACTGCAGGGAACTAAACGCATACACACTACCACCTACCACCCAGCACCAAATAGTTTGGTTGAAAGGTTTCCCCGCCAACTAAATAGGGCTCTTAGAGAACACGAAAACAACAATTGGTACGAAACATTACCGCTTGTCCTTCTGGGTATCAGACCGAGCGTGAAGGCAGATATTCAATGTTCCTCTACTGAGCTTGTATGCAGCCTGGTAGTGGTAATCTTAGTAGACCAGACTAAGTCCAACGATCGTCTGTGTAGACGAGAACACTGCCTCCGGTGCTAACTCTAACACAGTACTGACAGTCGCTCTCCCCGAGAGATATTTACTTGTTCACATGTTTTTATACCAGTGGATTCGGTACAGTAGCCTTTGCGACAGCCTTTCAATGAGCCTTTTCACGTGATTTTCCGCTGAAAAAAGATCTTCAGGGGTAATCGAAACGGCTAGCATTGATTGTTTCAAACAAGCACACGTCACTGACAGTACTCTAATCGGTAAGTCGAGACCCAATGCTCGACCAATCAAACCCACTAGCGGGATCACTACGTCTCCTTCAGACCCCAAGCTAGATACATCATCCACATCGTTCTCACGCCCTAGTCAACAACACGCATCATCTGTACTATCTACAGATTGGACTCCGGTATAACGTCCAGATCAGCAGAGCACGCCACCCTTTACTTGAGATAAGAATACAGTCTCAAGCTCTCAACCACGAGGTACGAATGAGACTGCCATCTCACATTGCGGTCGCCAGGTACATCTTCCTGCACACTTTCATGACTAACCTTTCAATAAGCAACGTATGTGGTATAGGATTCTGCCCCTGACCACATGGTTGCTACACATTTCACTTTTTCTTTGAATTTTTTATCCTGAGCTTACGCCTCCGACCATCACTCTTCCGGTACTGTTGACTTCACTCCAACTTGGAAACAGCTGGCCTGATCACTCATGTCCTCGTCAACGGATTTGGTAGTCATTCTGGTTCTGACTACGTTTGGCATACGTACGATCCCGAACCTGGCTATTATGGTCGCTTCTGGCTTCGCAGCTGAACGCGGTTTCGAAAGCCACCTTCAGGTTCTGGATACATCCCTTGTAGTGTGGCACACCAACTCCAGCTGCAAACATGGCACGTTACTGCTGATACCGTTCTATGTAAAAGAAATTCGGTGACAACTCGAGCATCACGGATTGCTTCATGTTAACAGCTGTTCTGTCCTTCGATCGCTATATCAATGTGCATGAGGCACTCTGATGGGATCGTGAATCTGTCGTATGAACAACTTGACTAAACTTGACCTATTTCCATTGTCATACAAAAGGACTGCTGGAGACTTGGTCACAAATCACTTGATGACAAATTTGTATCCCGGATACCCCTGTAGTGAGCGAGTCAAGATATCAGATTGGCTACGCTCACCAGTAAATGTTCCATACGGTCGCGTCACGAAAGGCAAAACAAAATAAATCCGTAGTTCAGTTGTTTATTGAAGGAGAACGTTGTCATAACATGGGGAGCAGCAAATAGAGAAGGATGGCGGCAACGCGAAGAGAACGTTGCGCGCAAGAAGTCGTAGCAGTGTTTTTGGTACAGTTAAGCAAAAGATGTACAATAATGTTTATTTTTCACAAATCTTATTTTCTTCGTGGAAGCGTTCCACTACACCCCTACCTCTTATCTTCCAGAAAAGCGGACTCAAAAAGACACCAAAAATGTTGTAAATCACAAAACAAATAATTTTCCTATCGAACCACTAACCAATCGGACGTTTGCTTCAAAACGTTGTTCAAGCTCTATCTACCGACGCGTTGAGTATAAAGCTAAAATCAACTAAGAGACCGATATTGTTACAGCTAATATAGGTGATCAGGTTCTTATACTTTCCAAACTAAACCTGAGACCGGATGTCCCACATTGATTCCACATGCTGCGGAATTTTCGTTCTCAAGGTCGGGGTGTGTAACGGGTCTGTTGTTAGTACTCTTCGTCTGTGTTTGCTGTTGCTTATGTTTAAACATATCTATAATTTTTTGATAGGTCTATTAATCTCATCATTTGGTGCCAGTATTTGGTTCTCAAAGACATCAATGCATTCTGTAGCTTTAATTGCTTGTCCGAACTCCACAGTCGCTGAGAATATTGCAGAAACGTTAGTTAGTAAAAAACTGGCTGCTTGCGTCAACATCATACCTTCAATTAAGTCTATTTACGTTTGGGAGGGGAATTTGGAGAAGTCAGACGAGGTTCTGTTAATGGCAAAAACTCAGTCAAAGTTGATTCCTTCTCTAACGGAGGTTGTCAAAGGAATACACCCTTATGAATGCCCAGAAATCATTGGGTTAAATATTGAGGGCGGTTATCCACTTTACCTTAAGTGGATTACGGACTCTACGTCCTAACTGTTAATAATGAAAATGTTATTGTGTTTCTGAAAAATAAATCCTTTTCATACTGTGTTTTTTATTATGGAGTATTTTCCTCTAAGCATAAAATACTTTTTTAGACATGGGTTCTGCCACCTCCCATCAAACTCGGGATGTAACTTTCCACCCTGATGATATTGTAGTAAGTTGTTTCGTTACATCATAAATCTGAAAGATTACCGAGAATGTAGCTAAGCGAATCAAAAGTGCTGCAACTACTGTGGATAACACGACAGGTTGGTACATCGTTATTTAGCTCTAGCTGTGAGATGGCTCCCATGCCCCGGAATCATTCAAACCGGACTACAATACAGGTTTAAAACGTGAGTTAGAAGAGACAGTGAAAAGATATGAAAAGCGCCTGCAACTATTGGAACAACGTGTAGGTTTCTGTTTTGCGTTAAGCCATGAAATTTACCACTTTCTGGTTTGTGTCACCTTATTATATATATCAAGTTGTTTCGACCCTTTTTATCAGTCAGTTTCACTTGTAGAAACATTCAAACGTATGTCGTGTTACAAGCGACTAGTTGACGTATCATTTCCCAATGATTGTGCTTCCTGTATGCATCTAAGTAGTCTGACTTACAAGTCCTGTTTGTAGGAACCTTTTGTTACGTATTATTTGCTTTTAGTTTTCCAGTGAGAACTGTTATCCCCTAAGATTATGAAAGATCTTTCTTATTCCTTATTTAGAGTACGATGAGTGCTTTTAGAGGATGGACGAACCAGTTCCGTGTTCAAGACTTGTCTAATTCTCTTACCTATTTATGGGATAGGGTTGATTATTCGGAAACATAGTACCCCCTCACGAAGTAATTGACGCTTAGGCTGAGCCATGTAGGGAGATGTAGATTGCCTAACTGAGGCTTACTCAACAGTTTTAATCTATGGTCGGAGACGTTGAGTAGCATGATTCACAATCTATTCAAGTGATACACTTGTATCCATTCTCTATCTATTTAGCTATTTCTGATGTTATTCATTGCAAATGTTTACGGTTTATTTTAGAATGAACAACTGTTCAACGAGGCTGCAAAAGAATATACTCGAACAGTTGAACGTTTAGAAAACAAGTACATGTAAGTTGTGTAAACTTATTGCAATGTGTATCGCTTATTTATCAAACTAATGGTATCGAAATCTGTGATTGGTTACATTTGTATGGGTTGGAACTTCGCTTGGTAGAAGTCTTGAATTTTGGTTACTGATATTTCCAAACTGTCCAGACCTACTCATCTAGAAAACGGCTTTGATTATTACGAGATATTGTGAATGAATGAGTCCTCTTGTGTTTCCATTGCACAGATTGCTGTCCGATATGAAGTCATATTGATTAAGTCATGTTTCTAGATATTAACAGTCATTCATAGAAGTTTGATGAATATTTGTCTGCAGTCAGTCAGTCAGTTACAGCGTAGGACTCCGTACGTACGTACATAAGTTCAGGTTACCATACCGTGTTAGCACAGAGACATAACTGTCAGTTCAAATCCCATAGCGGTAGAGATTTTATATATTATTATATATTATATTATGTTTTTTCATTAGCTACGACTCAATTCACATATTTAACCTCATGTCGTTAGTATATGTACTATTTTTTTAAATGAACGTTTTTTGAATTTTCTTGAGCTCGTTCATGACTTCTGATTGTTTTGTGATACTACATATGTTAATTCGAATCTACTTGATGTCTAGAAGCTGCACTGAAGTGATACAATGTATATTTACATTTCATAACTATATATAATGAGTTGTGGGATCATCTACTCACCTAACACCCTCAAACTCTAAGTATTTAAGTGCTAGTATTGTTTTCTAATCACCACTATTCAACAAGCTATCACTAGCTTTAACTTGACAAGTTTGTCTCATAGCATAATAGACAGATCTAGACAGTTTTCATGGCTCAATTTTCGTATTATCAAAGCTGTTAAATAATGCATAAGTATTATGTACTCTGTCAAGCATTGATGTAGTCACGACCAAACTTTCACTATCTCTTTTCATCTCAGCAACTTTACTGGAAACTTACATGTTCACAGCGAAATGTCACTATATTCAGATAAAACTGATGAAGTAGATCATTTACATCACAATAGAACAATGACATACGACTTCTAATGCTATTGGTTTTTAGAATAATAATTTCCGTTTTCTTATTGTAGGAGGCCTACTCCTGGGGGATGTTGTGCTGCAGCTGAACAAAGAGTCGAAGATTGTTATAAGCAGAATCCTGGAAAAACACTTTTATGTTCTAATCTGGTATCAGAGTATGATCGTTGTGTACAAAATTTCCTTGTCGTAAGTGATACGTGCCTAAACAAATTTGCTAGTTCCAAGCTTTTTTTGTTTTTCAACTAGAGATCCTCGTCTGATTTATAGAGTTTAGTTATAAATCTACGCGGGATGCAAGTCAAAAGTTGTTTGGAGTTTACTAAATTTGCGATGTGTGTGCAGGTCGTAGCCACCAAATAGTAAGACACCGATGTTCACATATTCTGGTGATAAACATCAAACAAGATGAAATATACATCGTAAGATATTCTAATAGTTGCCGCCTAATCCTAAAATAACTGAGTATAATGGATTCAGTGGGATTGTAGACATCGACTACAAGTTCACATTAATCTGAATACCATCCTAGGTGCGTGCAAAAATTGTGCATTAGAGTAACTGTAATTTGCAATAATGCAAAAAGAAGAAACAGGTAGAAATGTCAAAGATACAATGAAAGTGAGGGACAAATAAACAATGAGTGACAAAATGTACAGGAATCAGAGGAAGATATAGCTTAAGTCCATACGTACCGTTATGACAAACTGTTAACCTCATTCACCAGATCTTTTAAACACTAACTGCTGTCATTGAGATAACCCTATCAAGAGTGTTTGCACCTTTTATACCATTGGTACCACAATTTTCTGTGACAACTATTACAGGCTTCAATCCGAATTATACCTAAGTCTGTATCATTTGTCTAAGGCTGATTTCAGACCTGGACCTGGATGTGTAGACCAAATATTCACACTTCGTCAGGTCCCAGAACACGTACACACACTAAGACGTCCGACAATAGTTGTATTCCTAGGACTTAAGGTGGCGTTTGACTCTGTTGGTCACGAGGTTCTGTGGCAGTGTCTGTCATTGAAAGGAGTGCCAGATAAGTACATTAACCTTATACAGGCTCTCTACGCGAACACTACCGGTCAAATGAGAGCTTATGGCGAACTGTCATCGGAATTGATCACCTCGAGTGGTGTTCGTCAGGGCTGTCCATTTTCTCCATTCTTACTTAACTTTGTCATTTAGATGCTAATAAACACGACACTCATCATCTGACTTTTCAGGGACTGACGCTCTACCAGGAGAATCGCTAGTTGACTTAGATTATGCCGATGACATGGTTCTTTTTGGTGAAGACGCTGACAAAATACTGTGTACTGACCACCTTAAGCAACAATGCAGGTATATTAGGGATGTCATCCTCCCATTTGATGGAGAGTGAAGCAGTTTAGCGTGTCGACCGCTTCACTGATGTCGGATACAGAAGGCTTGACTATCTCTTGCCAACTTGCATCACCTATGGCTTGGGCGAAATATCCGTCAGCTAACCAAAGGATGAGTTTGCTGCACAGCAGTTCTCTCCGTTCTACTTTATGGATCTGAAATATGGCCAGTACGAATAGAGGACATCCGTAGGTTACTAGCATTTCATCATCGGCGTCTTCGGAGCATTGCTCCTGGGACCACCGAGTAAGAATCGCTGTTGTTAGGGAAAGGATACTAGGTAAGAATGACAGACCGATTAATGGAGTAGTGAATCTTCACCAGTTGAGGTGGTTGGGACATCTGTTCAGTATTCCTGACCACCGACTACCTAGACGAGCTATGTTGTGTGGTTTAGTAGTAGGCTGGATGAAAACTAAGGGTGGAAAAACGAAAGCATAGCACAAATTCATGAAACCACTGACACCTGGACTAAGCCATGTTAATAGGTATAGACTACCTGTTCGGGATCCACGAGACAATAGTAACTGACAGTTCTAGACTTTGAGTGACATGGTTCGAAATCGTTTACGATGGGGCAATGCATCCATTCTTTGTCTTTTTTCAAATTCTAATCTTCTAAGTTGCTCGTGACGTTTTTTCTCTATCTAAATTTGTTTTACTTTATTATACCTCAGGAATCATATCTTCGAAAACTAATCTTCTCCGTTACCGCCAATACTTCTACTATCTATGCTACCATGGGATTTGAGTTGATAATTCGATCTCTGTGTGCTAATGTGGTATGGCAACTTGAACTGACGTACGTACGTACGAAGTTCTACGTCGCATGATCCCCAGCTTTGATGACTACACTTCGTAGTTGTACCGTAAAATGAAGTGGTCTGGATAAATACTTTGTTTACAACAAGAAACAGCCGTGATCCACTAAATTGATTGGTACAAAGTTGGTATGCGAAACAGCGATTGCTAGTTTTTTTCTCAATACAAACACTAACACTTATTGAAATACAGGTATATCTTAACGTGTCAGAGTGATGAATAGAACGAGAAAGATTCAGGGTTTCACTGTTAATGATGATATATGATGTAATATAGTTACCTCATTCACCAAGCACATGGATATGAGCCACACTCTACGTATGACGGTGGGTGACATTATCCGGTTGTCCAAAACGAAAACTTAGTGACTGAAAGCCGAATGTCCTAACTACCAAGTTGTTGCCCCACTAATATATAAGTACTATCAGAAAGTGGATTACCTACCTTTTCGCTACTCATTTTTAAGTCTATTTGTCTTTATCTGCTTGTTTTTAGACTATGTCTAGGAAAGTTTCGAATGCTGCCTGAGACTAATACAATACTATTTTGTATTTTATGGATTCCTATTCTAAAAATATACTATAATTGTTCTACGAATATTGTATGTAGCATACCATTTTCAATTAAACGATTGATAGTCCTAATAATTATTCGTGTACAAATTAAACTATACTTTATTTGTAGTGTTATTTGACAATTTTATTTCATTTTAATATTGAATGTTTAAATACAAGCTAAAAACAAAAAGAACGAACAACTTTGTAATTTTCATTATTAGTGATCATACTAGATGAAAATGTAGTTTTATTCAGTTACGATTGTTTTTTAAGCATAAAATTTTCAAATTTTGTTAGTGACTGAAATCGAAATGGATTTTCAATAGCCAATCAATCTGATAGTCCAGACATCTAATTTATAGGTTTATGTTATTGTTAGAATCTGATTTTTTCTATTTGATCAACTTTCTCACTCGCCAGGTCATTCATTCTCAAAGTGGTTTAGTCATTGTTGGATTCACTAAAGTGATAGTTAAATTCACCTGAATAACGCAGCCGTAGTCTATTTAAGTTAGAAGACTGTCTTGGTTACTCGGAAATATTTATAAGTATACAATAGGTGTGGTTCTACAACAAACCATACATAATTAGTTAGTCTTTGCGATAATATTGTTGGGGGCTTTCGTCTATATTTTTAAGCAATACGAATAAAACGGTAATATAACTATCATGCTGTTGGTTTGTTAAGACTCAATTTCTGTTTAACAAACAATAGATGGCTAATAGATTCTGAAGATACTAGACAATATTTCTGATATGTTCGGCACTTGAGGCTATTACGAGTTTACCTTAGTCGATAAACGCGAACGAGACTTTTACCAGCTCCCAGGAAGGCTACCCTGAATCCCAGAATCGAAATAGAAGACTTTGTAGGCGTAGAAGTATATTCTACAAGCACCCAGCAATCCCAGTACAATCAAGCATACAACTCTCGTTTATTTATACAACATAACAACGTCCTTGAGACAGTTAAGAAAATAGCATACTAAAATACACTGCAGCCAATCACAGCCATTGATTTTGCTGGTGGGAATTGAAATCTCAAGGTCATTTGATCAGCCCCTGCTGGCGAACGTGAAAACCGAAATACGGCATTATCAAGCGAATTTTGGGGATCTAACATCCCCAACAATTTCATCCTGACTTTAATGATTTATGTATTGACATTATTCGGTTAGTGGGCAGATAAAGGTGCGCGGAGTATGTGAATTCCTGCTCCTGTATCACAGCTTCTCTCCATCCATAAGTCGTTTTTTGTCCTTCATATTAGTAAGATTAAGGGAAACCAAAAGAAGGATTAAGTGATATTCTTAATGGAAGAAACAGTATAATGAAGCGAAAGGTGCTAGAATCGAGTGAAATCGGAAATTAAGAGTATATTGTAATTCAAATTTTAATGTTAGAGTAAATATAAGGAATAAATGCACTAGTACAATTATGGATGATTCTGGGCAAAATCTTCCAATCTTCAGCCACGACCTTGATGAAGAGTTTCACCACGAAGCCTTCATCTCGCAGGGTATGAACTAATATAGTCCATGGACCAATACGGCGATTCAGTTCAGTAAGAACCTTCCAATTTAATCCAACATCAACAACCACAGACCAACGATGATTGTGCGTCTTTGACATGTATTTCGGTTACATAAAAAGTTACTGAAGTGTCGTGACATCATTAACTGGTACATAACCATATCCTATTACTTTGCTGGTGACGCCAGAATAATTCACCCAATGGTTCCAGTATACACGAGTTCCTTGAAAAGAACTTGTGATTGGAAACCTGCTTGCAACATATGTCTAAATCCTTCAAAGGAGAAGTTTCATAGTCGTGAAATAAAACGACGCAAGCTACAGCGTGGCTTATTTGCTTTCCGATAGACCGATGTCTGTCACCGTTACAGATTCAATAGCAACTCAATTATTGAGTCGTATGTGACAGTATGAATAGGCAACAAATTAACTCAAGATGGTGCATTTCATTTAATCTGTTAATAGTCAGTGTGTCTGCGAAACTGCTTCCGACTTAAGGAAAATGGGACGCAAATTCATGTACTTAGACTAACGTGTAAATATGTACGATACAACATAAAACCACTTACAAAAATGTATTAGTTCAAGTTACGATGCTTGTGATTGGTACACAAGAATCAAAACTAATTAATCCAAGAAGAAGTTAATAGTGAGAACGAAGACTATTAAACAGCTGTGAGATGACTGTAATTGTCAATGATAATTTTTCTAACCAAATCACGTAGACACTCCAACCATTGGTTTCACCTAACTCGTGAATGCAGGATTACAAAGTTTTTACATTTCAAAAATAACAAAAACTACGGTTCAGTGATATTCCATTTATACTTCCCTATACTAAAAACATGAATAAAACTAAATCTTCGGTGATGGATGAAAAGTTTCCTGACTAGTTTTGTCTTTGATTAGATTTGACGTACAGAGTTAGGTCTTATAAGCTCACTGGCTGGTGGTGAGTCACCTGCAAACTCAGTGTTCTACTTTTGATGATGCATCTGAAGACATTCGCTCATGTTTACTTTTGTAGTGGTGACATGTTGTGTGGCAATATATTTTTTTTGTGCCGGTAGGAAACTTTATGTAAGGTTAATTGGCCTAATAGATATGGTAATGTTATTTCAAATTTCAGTAGTTACATGTTCGTTCTAGATAACAACAGAATAAGTCAAGTTATTTATCTGAGAAAAAATAAAAGTTGAAAAACTAATGAAAAAGAATCAGAGTGATATTTCTTTTTAAATGGATTATAATGGACTCTTTCTATCGGGGAAAAAGAGAAAGTATTCGAATTCTAATTGTTTCTGGGATGTTTTGTTTCGTTATAGTGCTCACATAAACCAAATTAGAATAATACATATTGTAATAAATTGTTAATAATTTGTCGTGATTCATGCTCAATGCTAAGAGTAAACATATATCTATCTGCAGAGGTATGTATATATATATGTATATCTTAATGTGTTTATGTACAAAAGAATAAGGAAGTAGATAATTCAACAATTGACAATGACTTATCATCACCAAAGTTTGTGAAAATATCACAGCGGTATATATTATATGGATAATAGTGTACAGTAACATATGACAAAATGAAGTAAGTTAGATGACGATAGATATTCTTCAACATTTGTGACTTGCTATATTTTCAGTTAGTGTTTTGGACTATTTTTTCTGTTTAACAAATAAATCTAAATGAATGTATCTAATATAGAAGCAAGATTTATTTGATGATATTCAGAACCACTACTACTAACAAACAATATCAAACGATCTTATTGTATATATCTTTTGCTTTTGTTGTTCTCCCATGTGAATTATTGGTTAACATTGTTCCATTGAATGTGATTCCATGAAACCTATTGGTGCAGCATTAGCAGTTGGAGCATTCATTGACTTTGTTCTGAATAAATTATTATGTTGAAGTTGATAATAAGGTACAGTATGAGCACGATGTAATGTTAAGTTCGGTACAGTAGTAGTTGATTTACTTCTTCTTTGTGGGGAAATCTGATTTAATATTCATAATAAATAAATAACAGTGAAATCATTCTTTAAGTCAATATCATTTTGTTGCTGCTGAATGAAATAAGTCTATGCACAATGCAATCTTCAGTATTTCACAAACACTTACTTACATTGAATTGAATGTAAAATGACTTTAGTTTTTATTATGTAATAATATCAACTGGAGTAAATTAGAAACTGGAGAACAAATGATGAATGTTCTATCCTAGTTTGGGACTCATCAGTGGTGTGTATCCACATCTCCCCAAGAAATGATCTTCACAAACCCTCTCACTTCATGAATATACATTGATTAAATTGTCCATAGTGACATTTGCTACATATTGTGAAGAAGATAACCGTGACCGTAGACAGGAACAGATGGTCATCAGTGGTTATTTTGTATGATCACTATTTTCATACTTAGTCGGTCAGTTGCTATCTGACAAAGTAATTTAGTCTTACTGCATATTGACACACTCATTTAGTCCAGCGACAGTGAGTCATTATAACAAGAGAAAAATATCATGTACACGAAAGGATCATTGAAAGAGTTTAGTAACAATCAATCATTTTATCAGAATTGCTGTTAGCAAATCTAAATCATTCGTAGTTTCGTCTGGGAAACAAAGTTAGTTCAAAACTCTAAACCGATCACTAGATCTACTTGTATCAATCAATAACCATTACGTGTTTTCTCTGGTCGAATCACTATTTTATCTCAATTGAGTTGATGTGTCAAACATGAGACAGATAATATGAGAAAATTTACTTTGAAGTTTATATATCGAATACAAATAATGTAATTGGAAACTTTTTGTATGTAACTGTGTTGACATTATTACTAGCGAACGGATATTAAATATAAATAAACTAATTAAATATAATGATAAGTATATTGGTTTATATACTATTTTTTCAACTTCACTGCTTAGATTTATCTTTACCAAATGTTGAATATGAAAGATCTTGATTAGTGAATGTTAGCTAGCGCCCTCAGGTGACTGTTTAAGAAAGTCTAGTCTGACAGAAAATTAATGATGGTTTATCTACCACTCTAGCCAATGGTCTTTATTCGTAAGGGATTGAGTCGAATATAGGTGAAAATGATAATATAATGAACACCACTCAATATTAGGCGATTTGAGGTGGTCTTCAGAAAACTCTGAACATAAATTTTGTGCACTTGTCAGCAATATGCACCCTCAGTCCTGTAGGAACTGGTGCTCCATGTGAGATTCAAACCGAAGTATCCACAGTCTGAGACGCTGTTATTGAACTATTATGGCAGAGGCTGAATGCCTGATTACGGCTATAAAACCTAATATAATATAATATCATTCCACTACAATACGGCATCGTGAATCAACATGAGGAAATCTGACGGTCGTACCAACATTAATTTCTCCTTCGAAGTAAAGGTATTGTATCGTAAAGCATAAACAACGTTTCACTGTCTTCATTGATACATGATAAGCTGAACTGTTTAAATGAGAGATGAAGATACATCTGAGCATTTCGGGATAAATTTCTTAGATTTATTTTGTAGTTACGACTACTTATCGAATACAGTCATCGAAGTGTTAGTCAGTCGATAGTCCATTTAAATTTCGAATTTACCAAATACCTAAAATTTTCAGGCTTCTATGTATAAAAATCATATTATTTGAAAATTTCCGGTAAACGAATAAAATTGATACCACTGTAATGAAAATAATTCAGTTGGACATGTATATTCAAAACAAATTTTCTTATTTTTCAACTTACTGTTCCATATTTTAGTCGAACAAGTAGTCTATGTCTACTACTGTTTATACTGTTACCATTAGTGTCTTGATTAATTGGAGATAACTCTTTAGGAGATAATAATAAGAATTCCGGAATAAAATTTTTTGTTGATACATTTAATGGGTTTGTTTTTGTTTCCATGATGGAATAATACGATCCTGATCGACTATGAATATCTGACATTGATTGTGATAATGTAGAACAATTTGATTTTTGACATTCTAGTGAAAGGCCATCTATAGTTCTTGATAATGATTCATGTGATGTTTGCTGTTTGGGGGAGTTTATCTTATCAGACTGTACACTATTATTATTTTGATTAAGTTTTGATGGAAGAGTCATTTTTATTGAATTTATTTGTAAGTTTTTATCATTTAGACTTTGAAATCGTTTTGCTCGACGTTCACCTGTTTAGAATATAAAAATGAGAAAAACATTAAAGTACTTTTGATCCATCGATTGATCGAATATACCAACCAATCAGAAAACTTAGACAAACGTAGGATTAAGAAACAGATCAAAGGGGGGATAAAATCATAATAGCGATGTAGACAGACAGATAAACGCAGAACTTCGTACGTAAGTATGTCAGTTCAGGTTGCCATACCACATCACCACAGAGACGCAACTGTCAGTTCAAATACAAGAGTGATAGCGATAGTAGAAGTATTAGCAGTAATGGGGAAGATTAAGGAGCGAAGATATTATTCAAGAAGTATAATTCGGTGAGATAACTTTAGAAACAGAAAGAAAGAGGTGATGAGGAATCCAGCAGGTTAGTGTTTGAGGGAACACAAAGAGTGGATGCACCTGCGCCATTGCAAACGATTTCGAGCCATGTCGTTCAAGGTCTCTAACCATTGATGACTATCGTCTCGCGGACCCCAACCAGGTAGTCTACATCTACCAACATGACTCAGTCCACTTGTGATTGACTTCATGGATTTCTACCATGTTTTGGTTTGGCCACTCCTAGCTTTCTTCCAACCTACTCCTACACCACAAATCATAGCTCGTCGAGGCAGTCGGTGGTTAGGCATACGTAACACATGTCCCAACCACCTCAACTGATGAAGTTTCACCACTTCATCTATTGATCTGCCATCCTTACCTAGTACTCGTTTCCTAACAACAGCATTGCTTACTCGGTTGTCCCACGGTATACAAGCAATGCTTCTTAAACATATATGATCGAATACTAGTAACCTACGAATATCTTCTACTCTAACTGGCTATGTTTCACAGCTATATAGTACGACGGAGTGAACTACTGCGCAGTAAACTCGTCCTTTAGTCAGCGAACGGATATCTCGCCTGTGCCATAGGTGACGCAGGCTGGAAAAAGCAAATCGAGCCTTCTGTATCCGAGCTGAGATTTCGTCAGTCACCAGGCCATCAGCACTGATGAGACTCCCCAGATACATGAAGTGGTCTACACGTTCGACTTCTTCACTCCGCATCACTGGTTCCAGTGAAGTCGCAAGCCAATCCTGAAGCAACATTTTGCATTTCGAGGGGTAAAGCCGCATCCTGAACATGCTTGCATGGTTGCTTAGGGTAGTCCGAAAACTCTGCATTTTGTCAGCGTCTTCACCAAGTAGGACTATGTCATCGGCATATTCTAAGTCAATAAGCGAGCTAGCAGGTAAAAGGTCTACTCCTGAAAATTCAGACGAGGATAAGGTTACATCTAGCAGCATGTCTATGACAAAATTAAACAAGAATGGAGAGAGTGGACATCCCTGACGGACACCACTTGAAGTAAAGAATTCCGATGACAGTTCGCCATAAGCTCTCACTCGACCAGTGGTGTTTGAGTAGAGAGCTTGTATGAGGTTAATGTACTTCTTTGGTACACCTTTCAATGACAGACACTGCCACAGAACCTCACGATCCACTGAGTCAAATGCAGCTTTTAGGTCCAGGAAGACAACTATTGTCGGATACCTAAATGTGTTTCTGTGTTCCAGGACCTGTCGTAGTGTGAAAATGTGGTCTATACAGCCACGTCCAGGTCGAAAACCAGCCTGGTTTTCTCGAGGCTGCTCTTCACGAGCTCTAGTTAGACGTCTAAGTATAATCGAGGCTAACAATTTAGAAACTATATTAGTTAGACTTATTCCCCTGTGATTGTCACAAGAGGACTTTTGTCCTTTCTTGTAGATTGGGACAATCAGTGATTGAGACCAGTCGGATGGGATTACGTCCAGTTCCCAGATTCTATCTAAGATCTCGGTCAACCTAGCTGCTAGAACTGGACCAACATCCTTATATATCTCAGGGGTCAGTTTATCAAGTCCTGCAGCTCGCGCCCTCGTTTCAGATTTCCTAACGCTTTCTCAACTTCACTAAGACTTGAGGAACTTACGTCGATTTGCCATTCAAGATGACTGGAGATCGTGGGCAATCGAAGTATGGCTGAATGCCAGTTGAACTGGTCCCTAAAGTGTTCTGCCCATCGGTCCAATCTCCTAGTTTGAGAATAAATAATAGTCCCATTCTTTTCCGAGATAGTCTTACTTACAGTAGGATTTTTAATACCAGTTTCCTTGATCAGTCGAAAAAGTTGTCTACTGTTGCCGATCGCCGCTGCCTTTTCCATCGCTTTTGCTTTCGCCACCCACCACTTTTCACGGTCGTTGCGCAGGCTTTTTGTCAGCCTGGGCTTAAGCTGACTTCGTTCTTCATCATGTTCAGAGCCAGATGGGATGTTTTCGGGCATCCATCAGTTCGGTGGATGCTACAGAGATCCACGGCTTCATTCTAACAATATGGTTTACCTTACTAGCAGATATCACTGCTGTTTCCACAGCCTTTTTAATATCATCTCAACCTGCTTCCGGATGGGAATCGCTAACATGGTCGCCTAACTGTTTTCTAGTTTCTCCTGAAATATTTTCTTAGCTGGATTATCATTAAGTAAAGCCCTAAGAGGTTTCCTTGCGATATGTTTCTGGCGTCCAGTAAGGCGCAAACAAATACGCGCTCGCACTAGGGCATGATCTGAATCTAAACATGTGCTCCAGAACGAGCGGCAGTCCTCTATCGAACCGCTCCATCGGTGGCTGATAGCGATGTAATCTAGTTGGGTCCAACGTTGAGACGACTTGGAGGTCGCCAGGTCAACAGATGTTTTTCCTTATGCCTAAAGTTAGTGTTTGCTAGAAATAGTTGGTTATCTGAGCATACTTGCAGCAGACGGTCACCATTATCTGTTCTCTGAGCCGCGACAGCATAACATCCACCTAGGTGTCTTTCTTGCTCACTTAGTCTACCTTCTTGAGCATTAAAGTCACCAGTCATTAATACTATATCAGAGCGCCTAGCTTTTTGGAGGAGGTTCGAAAGCTTTCTGTAAAACTCATCTTTCATCTCGTCTGAACCGCAATCAGTGGGGGCATAGGCAGATACGATGAAGAGGCAACGGTGAATGTCCATATATTTCCGAGTCCTTACTGTCTCGTTTAGTCGGACAGCGCACAAGCGACTATCTACAGGGATCCAGCCTAGGACCGCTAGTTCTGCCCTACGACTTAATGCTATAACTACACCAGCGAGACCCCGGGAAGCAGTATCAGGGCTTCCAGATGCACGAAGAGTTAATCGAGCTGCTGCCTTATCTTGACAACGTGAAATCAAATTAATGATTTTACTAGGATCCAGTATGCGCGTTTCGGAGACGCAGCATACATCGATGGCGCGAGATTCTAATGTCCTAGCTAAGGAAGCCTGTTGCCCTATTTGACACAATGTCCGTTCATTAAAAGCTCCAACATGTAATTTAGAACGAGGTTTCAGGAGACCAGAAATAACTTTTTGTGAACTCGCATCGTTTGCATTAGCGGTGCAGTGTGATAAAGGAATAGGAGTAGAGTTAGTCGTGGAGATAAGAGAGATATTAGGGGATGTAGAAAGGATTTTCTTGTGACCAATTCGGTCTCTCGTGCTGTTACGGGTATGAGGGCGATTTTCACTTCCCAGCTGTCCACACCATGGAAGGGTGTTTCTTGAGGAAACTGAGAAGAAAGGTAGATTAGTGTCGGTCTTAGAGACGCGATAGCATGACCGCAGAGTCCAAGGGACAGCCGCTTGAGGCCTGTCACGCACGGCCTTTTTATGAGGTTTTTTGAGGATTGGCTTCGCTCTTAAAAGCCCTTAGTGGGCACCCTTACCACCGGAGACGAAAATCCGTGAGGTAGGGTGAGGTGTGACATTTTTAGGGTCGACCTTTTCTAACCCTTCCTTCCTTGTGAGAAGGCAGCATCGCTGCGGATGCTGCTTGTTGTCCGAGGGAAACACCTTACTGCTGTCACACCCCCCTGCAGCCAGCAGTACGACTTCGCCCTCAGACCTTGGGTAGCTGCTTTTAGTCTCATCGTTCTCCGATCGATCTGCCTAGCGTGGAAGAACTTTCAGGAACATAAGTTCAAGACAATACAGCTCGGTTGAGTCACCAGGATAGGAAAGCCCGACCACCACGTCAAGGTAGCAGCTTCGGTTTGGAATAGCGATGCAAACAACAACAAATTGAATGTCAATAACAACCTATCAATATCGAGGTCAACAGGACAGACTACGAGTCATTTGTGGCGAAATTCGTATACTTCACTTATACCTGAAGTTTGTGCTGATGTTTTTCAGAAGAGCTATGAAAGCTTCACAATCAAAGCATCCAGTTTAGAGAACAAAAGTCTACCATAATCATCCATCTGAGCTACAAATTTTCTCCACTATCTTGAAAATAATGAGTAGCTGCTTCATCCTAATCTGAACTTCTAAACGTCATGAGAAATCAAAGTAAGGAAGTTCAGATTTCACATTGATTTCTTAATCTCATGTTCCATATTATGATACTACTGTATGGTTTTCTGTCTATTTCAGTCAATGTCACAGATAAGTTTACTCACTTTTACTATTAACTTACTCAATCGATTTGATATATCGAGACTTTGCAAAGTCATCTTCAAGTTAATTACTAGTTAGTAAACCATTATTATTAATTAAAGTGAAGATCAAAATGTCCTATTGTTTTAATGCTATGGAGCTATGAGTTCGCATGATTAGAAGAGACGTACGGTAGAACGGCACTGATTAATTTGCAGTATTTCTGAAGCTGTTAATATACATTAACTTTAAATTAGATAAACTCATCACAAATTTACATAAATTGACCAAAATTATAAATCAAAATAAAACAATACAGTAAATTATCACATACATAGAGATAGTTGTTTACTATCTTTTGTTGTATATTTTGTTACCAATAAATTAGGATTAGATTCAGATAAAGCAGATTTTAAAGCAAATGGATTTGATAATAATGGTGATTTAACAAATTTCAATGACAATTTCTTAGGTGGTAACGGTGGAGGAATATTAGCACCAACAGTAAGTGGTATAACTGGACCATTACTATGACCATTAAATTGACAACGATTACGTTCATTAGATGAATTAGTAGTTATAGGTATTTTCAATGGTCGACATAGAGATGCTTCAGTTTTTTGTTTATCAAAATTCCGATTATTATCGTGTAAATAACCATTCATTGATATATTTGAACATTTGTCAACATTTCGAAGAGATGAAGTGATACGTTTTTGCTAGATAGAAAAAAAAGTTGTATTTTGAAAGAAGCAAACAATTAATTCATTCATTATTTAGAAAATAATTACTAACAGTATGAAAAGTATTTTAAGGATAGTTGAAAAACAAAACAAAGTAAAACATTATTTCAATCATACAAATATTCCATATAAAATTAATATTAGTTCTAAAAAGTATATATATTTATTTCTAAGAAGATGGGTTTTTTTTTATGTCAAGAGATTATCTCTGAAGAACTTATATCTAAAAAAAAATTATAATGATAATTTAGTCATCAATTTCAATGAAACTTTATGATCAAAGATAATATTTTTCAATTAAGTAATGAAACTTGATTAATGAGCGAGTATATAGACTACAGATCAATAAGAAGGAATGATTCGGTCAATCAGAAAATTAAAAGTAGAGGATTTTTATTGAGACAATTTACGGTTAAATGATATGAAAAAAAAAGACTATGCAAATGAACATTCTCTCAGTTAATTAGAATGAATATGTCTGTGTACGATTGAAAGCATCAGAGAAATTAATTTCTTTACAGGAAATGTCAGAAAATAAGTTAAGTGCGTGAATTGTACACATAAACAGAAATATTAGCCCATACGATATTTAGCTTAAGGACTAATGATGGCCTTTAACAATGAGTGAGACCAACCGATCCCTGTGAAAAAAGAACCTTTTGAAGCAATAGTACAACTCTGATGAGAACGTAACTTGTAATAAACTGAAAAGCAAAAATGTGAAACCTTACATACAATTAATTGTCCGTAGAATATGCTACAACCTTATGTATTTGGTTTCTTGGTAAAAAATAGAACACTATATACAAATTATTCAATTATTTAAAGAATGTACATTATTTTCTCTGAGCCTTTACTTTCCGCTAATATCTTCGAACTACTAATAAGTAGGCAAATATATTTTATCCAACTTTTTCCATTGACCAATATGTCTTACCACGCAGGTCATAACAAGATGATGAATAGTAAAAGAAAGAAGATTGTTCAGTGGTAATAAGCACCACATAGTGAAAAATTTAGATATCTTATATCAAAAACATTATAGTGCTTAGATAGTTAGTAAACAACATATATGTATGAAGCAAGTGGCGGCCAGACCAAAACATGGCACAAATCCATGAAGTCGCTGACAAGTGGACTGAGCCTGGTTGATAGGTGTCGACTAACCGCAAGATGATAGTTATCGATGGTTAGAGACCCTGAATGACATGGCTCAAAACCGTTTGCAATGGCGCAAGTGCATTCATTCTTTGTGTTCTCTCAAATTTTAATCTTCTGAATTCCTCATCATCTCTATCCTTCTCTTTTTAAGTTTATTTCACTAGATTCAACTTCTTCAGTAACATCGTCGAACCATAATCTCTTCGATTACTGTTAATACTTCAACTACATATACTACTATGTGATTTGAAGTGAGAATTGCATCTCTGTGCTAATGTGGTATGACAACTTGAATTGGTGTACGTACGTACGAAGTTCTATATTGTTGCTGACTGACTTAAATGACTGATATATGCATGAATGATTTAACTGTAAAAAGTATGTCTATTAGTTTTCTTCAAAAAAATTTCTTTAAATCTTCTGACAATAAATGGATACTATGAACAGCTTTGTTCTGTTTTTACAACAAAACTAATTGTGATTGCGAACGATTGATATTTTCGGGGCTTTTTTTTCGACTAATCAATCAATTTTATGTTTATTGTTGTTGGTTCTTACAAAAATAATTACACAATTACACTATCTCAACTGTCAATTTGTAGTTTATCACATTAGCTTAGAAAATATTCAAATTCAAAATAATGATGAATTAGTCTTTCTTTTTTTCTTTCATTCTTTTCTTTATGAATTTTTAATAAGACGTTAATAATAATAATAATAATTTTAGTATAAAAAACGACAATATAAAGTCATTTTTATTCTATGCATTGTCTTCAACTATTCACATTCTTAATAATTTTAAGACAGAATTTTTATCTTATTTGAATTATATGAGAATGGAAGCTAGAAAAGATAATAATAATAATAATAATAATAATAATAATAATTTAACAAGACGAATTATCAAACAAAAATAAAACAAGAAATGAATTACTACTAACCAATTTTGCCGATAAAAATTGTGGACGTGGAGGTAATGGTGGTGGTGGTTGTAGTAGTAGAGAAGAAGCAGTAGACGGACATGTTTTACGTCTAGTAGGCGTCAATGAACATGTTTTATCATGCACTGATGATGACATAGCAACAGTATCTTTTTCATTTTTGATATAATTTAATTTGGTGAAATCATTTCTTGATGATACTATTGATTGTTTTGTTTCATTGATAAGAGTTTGTGATTTGATTTGATGCATATTTTTCAATGGCGTATGATCATTAATATGAAGAAGACGAGGTGGAGGAGGTCGAGGTGGTGGTTTACGTTTTACAAATTGATTACCTTCCATATCTGATGAATTAAATCGGTTCGATGGACTACTGGATGATTTAAGTGAAGAATCTGATGAACTATAAATTAAAATATTAACAAATAAAGAATTGTTATTAGAAATTTATATATATTTTTTTCTTATTGTCATGTATCTAAATGGAAAAAGTCAATGAAATATTCACATCAACCTAGATTGATTATCTGTACTTTAAAACATATTTTTCAAATAATTAGTGAAGGCAGAATACCTAAATGAAACAACTCGAATAATTTGAAGTAATTTAAAAACTATCAGTGCAGCAAAAGATATTATTTCAAATAAAAATTACACAAGAAAATTTATAACTTGGAAAAGGAGTCAAAGTTCTTCAGTGGAGTAACTGCTCTCAGTAGTCCGATCTTCAGTGATGTCACAAAAAGCCTAAAGATTTTGAAGTCGTATTTCAGCTGATTAGGAGAGAGGCTGGATAGATCAAGTGAATCTCATTACAGTAACAATGAAATCTACTAGATTACAGAAGTTTTAGTAAGCTTATTGATTTCGCATACTTTAGTATAGGTTTTCTGAGTTCGATACAACGGAAATATCGCCACAGAATCAAATTCACCAGTATGTTCAGGTTGCTTTCTTGACTATTCTTCGTGGAAACAAAATTTTTTTGGAATACTCTTTGTTACCTACGCGTTGTCTACTCAAAATACCTCAGTAGTAACATCTCTAATTGTGAAGCTGGTTGACACGAAGTGAGTCTATCTGCTAGCATCGAGTCCTCCAAGGTGACGTCATGTTACTCAGACTAGCAGCTAAACTGTAAGCTTATCGGTAGAATTCAACCAGCACTAATGGTGGATTGACATACGCGACATTGATAAATCAATTGTCAGTAAATTACTTTTCTTATTATGATTAACAACGGAAAAGTGTCATGTGAATGAATTTGCTATTACATAGGTGATAAGCACATTGAAGGGTAAAAGAAAAATAGCTTGAAGTAATCATTCTATTGGGATTTACCAATAAAAAGATGAAATATGGTAGACGGATATTATCGCAAACACGGTTAGAAACTTTATCCCTTCTATATATGTGTGTGTTTACTAGTTAAAGCACTATTCTACTTGCTGAAATGATTTATTTTTAACAAGCTATTTACAAAACTGATTAGTTAATTATAGCCAATGTAAAGCTTTTTGAAATACGAATGCAACATTTATTAGCTAGTCAAGCAAACAGACTCAGACCATTATATATATATGTATAACCACAGTAGGTAAACATGTGTGACAGATACATTTAATCACGATTAAAAATACAGGCAGGCAAATTAATTTGTGGCAGAGCAAACTTAAAAAACCCAGTTTACAACAGATCAACTTCAAGGACCAATATAAATTCTTGTTCTAATGTTATACAATTGCGATGCATAAACTGAATGAAAATAAAAGCCCAAATTTACCATTTTGTCAATAAGCCATTAAAAATAGCGATTATATAAATTAAATATTAGGAATTATTAAAATAAATATAAGACTAAATAAGTCATTAGCTGAAATTTATCACATGGTGAATACTTCTACTTCTATGAAAAGACGAGAGAAAGGAAAAATTAACCTGGCTAAAACTTAGAGAAAAATTTATATCCAGCTTACCGACTGTCAGTAGTTTGTATTTCCAATTGATTAACTTGATCATCTCTAAAGAAATGTTTCCTGCTGAGAAGAGTCCCTGATGCAAAATTTGGAGTAGAATTAGCAAAACAAGAATTTGGACGATTTGGATAAGATAAGTAATCCATATCTTGCATACGTGCCATTACTGGTGCATGCTTTGGATAAATATCCATTGAACCGGACTTATTAGTTTTATGCGAAGTGAACGATTGATCAGCCTTTATTTATTTCAGTAAAATGAAGAGAATAAAAAATGTTCTAGATTATTACAAAGATTTAACAATAGTCAAGAGTAATAATCGAGAGTAGAAAAAAGACAGATAATTTGATCACACACCATAAAGTTTGTCTGATCTATAACTTCGTTGTCCCTACTACTTATCGAATCATGTTTGCGATGTCACTGAGTAGATTTTATGAAATAGAATTATGATATGAGAAAATAATTTCCCTTCTAGACGATAAAAAATGTAGAGAAAATCAAATGGTATTCGAATTAGCAAAATTATGACTTATCGGTTCGACTTTGGTAGATATGTAGGTGAGCACTGTTATGAACTCACATACTAGAACAAAAGAGTTCTCCAATGATACCACAAATGAGATTAATCTGTGGGAAAATCAAACTACGAAATCAAATATTCGCTAGGAAATCTGCTCATAAAACATCCAATAGTTTTGAGTAGTGACATCCATTTAAAACAGTTGAACGGCATAAATGTTCAAAGTACATGTACGTTTATAACGCTCGATTAGTAATACTAAGTCTGCAGCAGATGAAGTGATTAAACATCACTTTGGAAATTCCATTTAATAGTCATATATCTTTTATTAATTTGAAAGTTAAAATTATCAGTATACATAACGTAACTGAATGTCGAGATCCGATGATTAATAAGTAAGTCACCATTTAACTGTATCAAGAAATGACCTGTATATAGCGGTAACAGATAACCATCAATGTGACAATGAAGTAATATTTATATATTCTATTGTGTGTGAATTGACTATATTTAAAAGATTTATTTGTTAATCAATAGAATAGAAATACAATTATTGTCTAATATATCATTTGAAATACCGATTACTTTAAAAAAAGAAACATTCTCAACAAAAAAATTATTTTTAGCTATCATCTCAGTTATCTATTTCGATTCATATTTATTTGAATTACGTAGGATAATCGAATTATATTATTACTATCGAAGCAGAAAAAATGTTTTTTTTTTCATTTCTACTATCTTTTTTACCTAAATAACATTTAATGCATATTCCATATCAATAAAAGTTGATTAGATAAAATATTACTAATTTTGTTATGAATTCATCATCTTAAGCGTCAATTAGATTTTCAATGTTATTGTTAGATATAGATAAAGCTAACAATTTGTAATTTGAATGAAAATATTATAATAAAATGATAGAATTATATTAAATGGAGTTTTTTAAAAAAATAATCAAGAAATCAAACTAACAAGTTATCATTCTATACTAATTAATCATTCAAAATATTTTATACACTAACAATAAAAGGAAAATATATTTAATAAAAGTAATTAATTTATCAGAAATAATCCACCTTTCGTGATAATAAAACATTCCAAGTAAATGCACTTTCGTGTTTAACATGTTTTATTGATTCTGGCAATCCTTTGTAACAAATACGACCAGGATTTTTTATCTTTTTAGCTTGTAACCATTCAGGACTACCAAAATTATATTTTTTATGTTTCAGTTTCGTATCATATTTAGTAGAACTCGATGTGATATTTGATAAAGAACTTGTAAAAATTGGACCAAGCGATGCAGTGGCTTTATGATGATATGTTCTTTTAGCTTGACCACGCAATTGAGATGCACGATTTTCAAATAAATCAGTTTTTGGATCAGGTGGTCGCCTGGAACGTTGATCTAGAAACTTAAAAAAAATAGGATAATAAGTTTATTAAGATTCTATGGTTAGTCACAAACATATGATTTGGTCAATTTGAAAATGTTAGCTGAGGAATCACTGATAAATCAAATGAGTAGGCGCGCCTAAAACAGTCACTAAATTTCGCATGACTCAGGTCACTACTAAAAGCGCTAAATTTTTAAGTCACTTTTGAACAAGTGACAAAGTAATTGAATCTTAGAGATATTTTACACCCATATGTTTATCACGATACTTCACTAGGCTCACTTAGATCGATGGTCAGAATGCTTAGTGTGAAAGTGTCGTAAACCTGAAACCTCACCGGTTCATTCCTACGATTAAATCTTACCCGTACACTTTTAATGTTTAATATCATCGAGAACATATTCACACGTACAATATGAAATAGAAACTAGAAATGTCATCGAACTAGACCAGTTGCAGTATGTCTTGCAAGTAATACAATACAAACACATCACATCTGTTTACTAGAAGCATGAAACTAATATATTTATGGGAATAAAGTTTAGTAGGACAAACTAGAATAAATATGCTAACATTTCTTACATTATTGAAAGCGAACATAAACCAACCAGTATGCCATAAAACACAAGTGTTATTCGAAAGTATATTTCACTTAACGCCCATATAAGTAATGAATATTATCTAGGTTTTATATCAGCTAACTTTACATTTGTATTGTTGGAATCTTGAATAAAAGCGCATATATCACACAAACACACACAAAAAAATAAGAACTTTTCTACAATTATTACGTACAAACCAAAAATACTTATAAACAGTCCAATATGTATATAGGTGAAAAGTTTAGTGTTATTAAACTAGTACATAATGAATTATGTTGGATACAAAAGCTTGATAAGAACAATTTCAATTATTTAAGAATAATCAGAAAAAAATCGAATACTAACAACCTTGAAATGAAATATTTCAAATTATACTTATCAATGTGATTTATTAATTCCCAATTGAAATGTGTTAACAAATAACATGTGATAAATAATTTAATGATAATGATTATTTTTTAAATGATTGTTTTCCTATTTAGTTTACATAATTATTATTAATAATAAGATTATATTTATTGTGAATTGATGTGAATAGATCACTGATAAATATGTTCATTTCCATTAAGATATATAATGTGGATGAGAGAGGAATTCGTAAAATGCGTTTTGTTCAATTTGAAACTTATCGGTTCATACATTCATTCAACGCCTGTTACCCCGAATGGAGCATTGGCCGCCCACCAGTTTTCTTCAACCAACTCTGTCTTGGGCTTCCCTTTCCAGTTCCGTCCAGTTTTTTTCCATTCTTCTCATGTCTTTCTCTATATCTCGGCGTAATATGTTCCTTGGCCTTCCTCTTTTCCTTTTTCCTTGAGGGTTCCATGTGAGGGCTTGTCTTGTGACGCAGTTCGGTGCTTCTCGCAGTGTGTGTCCTATCCACTTCCACCGCTTCTTCCTGATTTCCTCCTCCACTTGAATCTGGTTTGTTCTCTCCCAAAGTAAGTTATTACTGATAGTGTATGGCCAACGAATCCGAAGTATTTTGCGAAGACAACTGTTAATAAACACTTTTATCTTCTGGATGATGGCTTTCATAGTTCTCCAAGTTTTCGCTCCATATAGTAGAACTGTCTTGACATTTGTATTGAAAATCCTGATTCTAGTGTTGATTTTTGTTCGATTTGAAACTTATCGGTTACATGTAACTAAATCCACATTGAGATTTGAAGACAGTGCTTCAATAGTAAGAATAGGAAAACGTTTGCAATTGAGAGGAAATTTGCTTATCGAAAATATCGCATTTTACCTGACAGACAGCCACTGAGAGTAAAAGCTACAATAGCCTGAATTTTAAAATGTTTATAAAAGACAATCTGCATAAATTTAAAAAATGTATTATTTGACTGTATTTATTAGTTTTAATGGTAATATAATGGACTACTACTGATCCTTTTGTAGCGGTGAATTAATCCCAAAAATAAATAGATCTGTAAGTCTTCAACATTGATGCTGATCTCGTCAGTCTTACTGGACATACTCCAGCTGAGGGTGCTCAGTTACAAATCTGCACCGGACCACCGTAGGGTACGCATAGCAATGCATCATCTCGCATCAACTGACAAGCTTAGTTCACTTACTCAAACCCACATCCCGAACATCATTCAAATAATATACCTTCGGTCATCATCGTTCCTGACTTTTAGTTTGACTCGGCTTTGTGTATCCTATATCTAAAAGATTTTTAGATAAAAGCGTTGTCCAACTATGAATAGCTTTGGTGTTGTATGTATTTGTCAAGTGTAAGGTACCTGTATGTCATTTATATATAAAATTATGTAATATAGAAATTTTTGAAGTAGTATAATACAGTGAGTGGAGTTAATTTTAAAAGAAAAAATGATTTATGATAGGAAGAAATAAAATAATAGATGTGGAAGATAAACTTGCATTATAATTCGGTTTAATTGTAATATATATATATATATATATATATATATATATATATATATACATCGCCTGAATTCATTAATTTATTACTATCATGTTATGGGAAAATGTAACACAGGGTGGAATATTTACATTGGATTCTATCCACTGACTTATTTTTTAGCTTCTGTATTTATTTGTTCGTCTGCCCACTGAATAATTGAATACATGTTCATTCCTATGATCTGTCACAGTTGTGGTTTGATTTTATGTTTAAATTCACATCATCATTGGTTCCGAAAAAAAAAATCAGTATTATATCAATAAATAAAACAATTATTTGATACAGGCAAAACTTCTTTTTATTACATTAAACATAGCTGTATGTTCAAATATCAGACAAAATTTACTTCATTATATTACAAACTCAATAGGACGAATTTAACTAGTGTTCAAGCAATAGTTAATATAGTATTAATTATTATTTAGTAATCGATTAATATTGACAAATTTCAGTTGTACAGAAAACTACTTGCAGTTTGAATGACTTAATGATTGAACCGTTAACTGTCATGTTGAACACTGTCGGTTTGAATCACTCAGAAAACACTAGTCCATAAAGACAATTATATCTAGCGTTAAGTAAACAAGACAGTTATCTCTCTAACAATGACTAACTAATATCCATCAACAAACAATGCAAATCATATATATTTTGCTACGATATGTACTTTCTAGGTAGATATATAAGCAGTCAGTCAGCAACAACGCAGAGCGTTATAAGTATGTACAAAAGTTCAAGTTGTCGTACTTTACGAACGCAAGGAGATAAGACTATAAGGCTTAATTTTAGAGTAGGTGAGGAGGTAGTAACATTATTAGTGATAATGGAAAAAATTAGTTATCGAAGGTAAGATTCGAGAAAATATACATCAGTGAAATAGATAAATAAAAAGTAATGAAGAATTGAAAAGGTTAGAATTTGGGAGAGGATAAAGAATGAATGAGTCTGAGCCATTGCAAACCATTTTGAACTATACAATTTACAGTCTCTAAACACTAGTTATGATCAGCAGTCAGATATTACCTGATGGCTATTGACTTAAAATTTATTTTCTATCTGATTTCTCATACATACATATTTGATAATATTTTATCAAAGGAATTCAACTGTCAAACAATGCAACTGACAAGGAATAGCCTAATTATGTAAACAAACTTTACTTCAACCGTTACACTTTTTTTCAAACTACTGCTTTGAAATTTTTAAACAATCAGGCGATTGGAAATTTATATAAACAACTTGATACAGGAAAATCACAAGCAGTCACATTTTTACTCTTGTTCATCAACACACTAAAGCATTTTCAAGAACTAAAAGTGAATGTTTTGTTTTGAGATGGTAGAGAAAATTTGTAGCTCAGGTGTATGATTGTGGTGGTGTTTTGTTCTCTGGGCTGGATATTTTGGTTGTGAAGCTTTCATTGTTCTTCTAAACAACATCGTCGGCACAAACTTCAGATGGAAGTTTTTGAAGTTTGTGCCGACGATGTTGTTTAGAAGAACAATGAAAGCTTCACAACCAAAATATCCAGCTCAGAGAACGAAACACCACAATGGTTTGTTTTAGATTTTAAAAAATGTCCACATCAGTGTTTATTGATTGACATTTTGCAAAAATGCACGCAGTTACACCGGTGCTTTTTAATCAAGTTGGAAAGTAGGATCCAGGATGCGTATCTCATCCTCTCTGGGAGATATGAACTGGATGTAAGTATATTTATCCCAGTGATGATATTCGCACTGAGACTGGAATTCAATCACTTTTGTTTCAAATGCTCTAGACGTTACGCACTAAGCTAATGATTCCAGATATCCAAAAACTTATCCTAAAGGTAGTAATTTTACTGTACTGTAGATGTTAAGGATCGTAATCTGGACCCAGTAGCTCAGTGAATAACGCGTAGAGAATTTTAAGCGAAATTAATCAAGTGTAAGGTTCGGTATAAGCGTTGACAGTGAGGTATAGGTACATCCATCTGATGGGTTTCATATAAACAAACCAAGGGTTCTGGATTCCACTGCTAGCAACCAACCAACTTCAATAAAAATACTTCCGATTAAACGAAAGTATGAAGGCAATCTGCTCAGGATACACAAATGCCAGAGCAGAATGAATGATTGCATGCCTGATGATCGAAAATGGGAAAATACAAAACATTCCATATAAAATCACAGTGATGTTTGTGAAAAATAAGCAACCGAATATCGTATGATAAGTAATTGTTTGTATTTACAAAAAACCCTTTCACAAAAACAGGAAGCGGACAGTTTGGTTTCTTAAGATATATGAACTTCATTTTCTATAAACTGTCCATCAATCATGAAACTTAAATAAACAAAAATAAGAACAATAGGCATTTACGTATCGAATGATGTTAAATAAGGTAAAGACGTTATTAAATGATGATCAATAATTCAAAATGTTTACTGTCCTTAAACAGATAATTTTAAATCAATCTAGATGGTCAGTAAGTATTGTAAATACATTTCTAAGTATGTACAACTACAAGTCCACCGCTCCTCGTCCCTATTCAAACAGAAACAGAAATAATATGACGAAAAAGTCTAATATAAAGCAGTTTAATGACATTTTAAACAGAGATGGATGATGACTAACAGTCGAATTCAGAACGTCCATTTCACATCCTATTTGAGATTCATCAACTGGATGTACCTACATCCCAAAGTTGATGCTCTCACTCTGTAACTCAAACTTAGTACGGTTTGCTTCGCACATAATCGCGTTATCTACTTAAATACTAAGTGCAGATAAACACTTGTTTGCACAACCCGTTGAAATTAAATCCAGGTATTGTTGGTGTGGATGCGATCGACTTCAGTCCTAAACATCAATAGAAAGGTCCAAATATCAGGATGCAGGTACATCCATCGAATACAACGAAATATGCATCCTGGATTTCACTGTTGACCGCATTCTATTTATTCTGTCATCAATATTTAAAGTAGTTTAAAAATAAGAAACTATTGAAATTTACAATCTTTTCAGACATGTATAACGAAGTGATCAACAGTAAAAATGAATTCGAATTTATTACAGAATAAACTGAACAATTCTGATCAAAAACATAAGGTAGCATAAAAACAAGAATATTTGATAAATTGAGTGTGAAGTTTAAAAGAATGCACAAGACAGGCATAAATAATGGAATTTGAAACAGTTTTTCCTAAAAATAGAAATCACTTTCAAGTCGATAAGAACACCAAACTATGATTAAATTAATTTGCAGCTATTGTTTCAAATATGCAGTATTTCTTTTAACTTATCAGTTGACTTTCATTATTTTCGAAGTTTCATAGTTGAAGACTAATACATATAAAGACAAAAAAAGTTTTTGGCATACATCTGAAACTGTCACTTATAATGTTTTATATAAGTAGATACGTCAAGTAATCAGTTATCTCAGTTTGTGATAGACTCTTATTTAAGATTAGTAATTTTAAAATGTTAATCGAACTTTCTGAAAAGTGAAAACCTTTTATGTTTTATTAAGGGTGGTCTTAAGTTTATTTAATTAAGCAAGTCTCCGATTTTATTATCAATCTATCTATCGATATTATAAAACGCTAATATGTTACTTAGTTGTCGAAAAATCTTACTGAATGTAGATGCCTCAAAGCGAAAACCGTACAAATGCTAACTATGCATTGAATAAGTGATCGAAATAAATGACTTACAATACGCATCTTTATGTTCCTTGATGAACTAACTAACTAATCACAAGAATAGTTTAGGAAAAAATAGTTATCAATCATCAAATAAGGAGTCAAGTACACTTGAATAATTTGGCACATGACATCAAAAAAGCAAAAACCGAAACGAGTTAAATGGACAGCAAGAAAAAATCAATGAGAACCACCACGATGTAAAGCCAAAAAGACTATTGGAAATACAATTCAAATGCAAAAAAAAGACTGAAACATTAAAAAACAAACAGCTTTTATCCAATTTTTTAGACGTCGATAAACAATTAATGAAATTGTCCTATTATGACTGTGATTTTACATTACGTAATCATATAACTGCAAACATTTTCAATGATAGTTTTATCTAGAATGATAGTGAACACCTTCAAATATTAACTAAAAGATAATCATTTATGAAAAAGTTGCAGTAGTATACAAAATGCTGCATAAAAACATCAACATAGTTAAAAAAAATACATAATTGTCTGTACTAACCAATTACTAGTTGAGTATAAAAACATGATTGACATCATCCTTAATTACAAGTACGTCATAAATTGAATGTCAAAACAAACCAAAATAATAAGTAGTTGATGCTTTTCTGTGAAAAAAAACATCATTAAGCCAAGATACTTAAACTCTTTCTTTATATGCATATGTTTGTGTGTGAATAATCAAATTATTCTCGTGACTAAGATCTGGTTGTATTCACAAAACGCTTAACATTTTAAAGTGGTTAGAATATTGAAAAAAAGCGATACAACATTTATTAATGATATAATCAAAGCATACAGAATAATCATCATATAAACAAATACATATTTATATGAACTGATATGATTTGACAGACTTACTAACTGAATTGTCTGTGATTCGAACATAGATTTTAGAAATGATTCTAAACCAGGACAAGATTGGCAAGCAATAAGAGCATCCAAATCTACTTCCGTATCAGAATCTGGTCGAGTTAAACATTCTGTATAACAACCTATTTGTAGATAGTGAAAGAACAAATCCAATTGAACATTAATTGAAATTTTTCACGTAATTATTGACTGGTAGGAAATAAACAAGAACAAATTAACCGATTGATAAGAATAGCACAGAACTTTGCACAGTCACGAGGAAGTGAAAATCGAATGGAATTCTTGATTGTTCAATTGATTTTGTGACATACTTAAACTTTAACCCATTTACTGATAGAAGGTATGAATAGATAATTGCCACCATACTTTTGATTCTCAATACTTAGCATTACTTTAAAGAAACACTACAGAATTTCAATAATAATACAATCCATACTAAATGAATTTTACTTTAGAAAACCATTTTTTTCTCAGTCAAAAGTATTTTCACATGGGATTATTATTCAGTAGCATAATTCACTAAGTAAGAATGTAAACTAAAATTCGCAGAAACTGCAAAATTGAATTTTTAAACAATGAGCAAGTTTATTTCACATTATTAATAGTAAAAAGTAAATCAATTTCATTTATCGGTAAAATATTGTATAGGATGGATGTTTGTATGGCACATTGAAGATAATGAGAAGAGAAAAAACTATGAATCTGACTCAAAGAAAATTAAAGAGAAAATATGCTTTAAATGAAAAACCAGGAAACATTGCAAGCTACATAGACAACTTTCTAACTATAACTATAACAGAAAATATAGTGAACAGATAGTGGTTAATGTATTAGGTTGGCAACAATCCTCTTAGGGTTACAAGAAAATAGATAGTTTTATATTAAGTGCACAATGTGAATATCAAATGATCAAAATCATAATCTCTAAGGCATCAGACAATGGTGGAGATGTCTACTATCTTCGTCATACGTTCCAAAATTATCTTATACTTCTTTATCCTACGAATTCATTATGTCATCTTGGATAGCGTCATGTATACCCAATATTTTCTACCCCTATTATTACCGGTACTGTTACCACTTGTACTACTAATCTGATATCTATCTTCACAATTTTGACAAGATGTATGATCGTTGTTTGGTAACTTGAAACGATACACATTTGTGCTAGGTTTTATGTTGATCTTGTCTGACTAACTGATACAGATTGAACTGATGGGATTCAGATATTGATGACTAACACTAAGTCACTCAAATGAAGTGAATAACGAAGCTATAGCGTTATAAACCCCTGATGTAATGAAAAGATTACATTTGAACATAAAACAGAATAGCTTTCTTATAAATTGAAATATTTAAAACAGTATAGTTTAGTCACAAAAAACCAATTACACCTTGAACAAATCTCTATTAGAAATAACTAACCAGTTAAAAAGAGACAGTGAAGTTCAAACATTTCAAAGTTCACGGATAAAAAAGGTATACTTAGAATATTGACTGTATAGTAGAGAAAGAATTAAGAAGGAATAAATTGTAAATATGTGTCAAGTAAAATATTGGTAGTTACTTATCTAGAGTATGATATAGTAACACGATGCAGTTTATTTAGAATAGATACGATGAGGCTAGTAATGAAAACCAGGACGACCGTCTCATCTTACTTTGGACTCGTTAGTTGGATTAACCTACATCGCCGAGTTGATGTTTACTTCGGAACTCGAATTCAATACAGTTTGCTACGAAAGCCACCGTGTTATCCACTTAGCTACCGATTTCAGATAGCTACTCACTTTTGCAACGAGTATGAGATTTAATTCAACCTGAAACAGTTTGGATTATCCCATTGTTAATAGTTTTATCTATGTGCCAGGTAAGACTAATCAAATTTCAGTTGAAATATCAACAACCGTATAATACAAACCATTTCAAGTTGAATTAAACTGAGAGTGAAATTATAATTGAGGACTTTTGAAGAATTTCAATGAACGTATTCTGATAACTCTTTGTAAGCATTCAACCAGCTCAGAGAACAAAACACCACCACAAGCATTCAAATAAAAGCCAACAAGATAATTAATACAAACTTACCTAAGAGATTAACAATTAATTCAAAAAATGGATGAGTTAATCTCTCGAAACATCTAAATATTTCACCATTAACTTGTTTCCAATCACCATTTTTTAAGTGTTTAGAATTCATTGTCACATTTAATTGGTGTTGTACTTCTTTTAATTTATGATGTAAAAATCTAAACTAAAAGAAAAAGAAGAAAATGAAATCACAAAAAATGAAGATAATAACATATTACTAGTGTTCTTTTAGTAAATATCAGTAGTATTAGTGGATGTATAGTAACGATAAATGCTCAGGGAAACTTAAAGTTACACACAAAAATTGTAAAACAAAGCATAATTGAGATGTAATGCAAGACTCATGCTGAAATTCGATCTTTGCATAGTAGATTGTAAATTTAAAACTGTTTTATACACATTAGTTGATACAACCATGTAAGCCTGTGAAAACAAGCATAAGATTTATGTTTTAACTGAAGAATAGAGTTGCAGACCTATGAAGTGCTTACATAGTTATATTTAACAAGTGCAGTCAATAAATTTTTGTATTTTGAATGAATATATATTGGACAAGAATTTCTTATCGATTAACATATAGAAATGATGATAAAAATAGAAATGATCAAAATATCATTTTAAGGACATGAAAAATAATCTGATCAGTGTATTATTATTTGAAATTGAAATAACAAACTGTTCTATTAGGAAGCTAATCAGTCAAGGGATGTGTGATCATGTTGGATCGTTGGTGATATAATATACTGAACTGTATGCAGGTATTTGTTCTCATTAACTGGGGGAGTACTTGATCGATAACAACAGACGGAAAACCGATTAGAGACTTCATATTTTCCTAACTGGTGATAAAACCAGAGGATTCTAATGCATAGGTAATCCACATACAATAGAGCTATTGGTGGAGAAAACTTGTAGCTCAGGTCGATGATTGTGGTGGTGTTTGGTTCTCTGAGCTGGATGTTTTGGTTATGGAGCTTTCATTGTTCTTCTGAACAACATCATCAATTAGCAGTCAAACGCCACGAAAATGCTTCGTTCATATCAATACACACCGACAATTATGGACACACATTTGATTGGAACAATGTGGAAATACTGGGTATAGGGGACAAAGAACACTAGAGAATTTTCAGAAGCTTGACACTCAGGTCAATCAGCAAACACATCGACATTGACCCAATTTATCAACCAATCAGGAAAATCATAGGTGACATAGGATCAAGAAACATATCAAAAGGGGGATACAATCAAAACAAAGGTGCAAGCAACGACAGGTTTAAGGTCAACAGCAACTAATCAAGATCGAGGTTAGCAGGACAAGCTACAAGTCAAACGTGGGGAAATTCGAATGCTTCACTTCTATCTGAAGTTTGTGCTGATGATGTTGTTCAGAAGAACAATGAAAGCTCCACAACCAAAACATCCAGCTCAGAGAACCAAACAGCACCAGAATTGAGCTATCACAAAGACATGAATTTGTGACTGAGTCGTACTAATCAGTTATAATTTAAAGCTTAGTTATATCAGTCAAAGAGGCTTAAATGTGTAATTCATTTCTCATGGTTACAAATAAAACTTAACAATCTTCACAACAACCCCCGAATGCAAGAATTAATAGACGTTTTATAGTTGGCACCTGTCACATCAAGTTGTAATTATCGTTGTTTCCGTGGTATTCTAACCTGTATCATTCAATGCTATATTGTTGATTAAACGTACGTGTGATAAAAACTCTATGTTAGGAAAGAAGTTAAGCTCACGATTGAATAATTAATGTATTTTGATACAACTATTCCTTATTATGAAACAAGAATAATGACTGAAGCTGAATAATCATCCGGTCAGTCACCGACAAGATAGAACTTGGTACGTACGTACATCAGTTCAACTCACCATACAAAGTAAGCACAGAAAATAGGAATTATCAATTCGACTCCCATAGTGGTAGAGATTGTAGCAGTATTAGTGGTAATCAAAAAGATTAAGTATTGAAGATATGATTCGAGAAGTATAATCCAGACACATAAATTTCAAGAGAGAAAAAAAGGCATTAGGAATCTGGAAGGTTCGGATTTGAGGAGTAAAAAATAAGTGCATATACTCCATTATAAACGATTTTAAGCCATGTCATGTCTCTAATCATCGGTTACTATCTTCTGGTGGATCCCAACTAGGTAGAAAGTCTATACCTGTTATAGGGAGAAGGGTTATCAGCATTGTGCATATACATATATATGCATGAGTAGGATCATTTAAATTTAGATTGATGAAACATAAACAAGATGAGACAATAGCTGTTAAGAGTTATAAAATTCATTAAGATCAATGCTCAATGATAATGATAATAAACTAGTTTTTAGGGATTCGATTAGTTGAAAATCGTATGGCGAATGAAAAAGTATTTTTGAAGTGTTTTGAAAAACAATCAATTTCAACAAAGAATGAATAATATAGTTAAAAACTGAGGAAGAGTAAATCAAAATCATCCATTCATTTTGATTTATTTTAATGAAAACTTGAAAAAAATAGTCCAAAAACTTTAACACAAATCTATTTTCAGACTTTAGAAATAGTGAAATACTCTTATCCTGACATTTAAAAACCTAATTATATAGAAATAACATCCAAGTAGGAATATTTTTCTTAACTAAAACCTTTTGAGCATGAATATTTCAAATGAGTGAAAATTGTCGACCATATGGCCGTTAGCAGGAATTCACTGTTCAGAGTACTAATTTGTAGGTTTTAACCTCAGGTACATATATATATACATATATGTTATCCTTCATTTCGAATAAGATTATAAAATAGCTAATAAGAACTAACGAAATATAATGAGCTTATGTATTTGTGATTCAGTTGTTGCTTTCGTTTTATTTAAAATCAATGTTTAATTCGAAATGCTTTTAATGCAATGAGATCGATAAACTGGGTTTGTAAAAATAATTCAGTTGTATAGTTTAATTTAAAGTTAACTCAAAATCTAACTAGCAATCAGTGTGTTGAGATATAGCTTTTGATCTGTTCATAGTATTGAATAATTGTAGACATTCTCTTGCTGTTTTGCTTAATTTGGTCAAGTCATATATAGATCCATGTGTGGTTTTTGAATAGAAAATGTCAGATTATGACTACTCACACAGAATTGATTGAACAATCAGTTTCTGTTCAAAATCAATTGTAACATAATCAGCTTTGCATTTTCAACCACAGTAAGCATTCTTTGATCAAACATTGTACGGGGTAATCGAGAAAAGTAATAGACACATATTTTGTCATAATATATTGAGATCACATTTTGTGATTGATTGATTGATTGATAGATAGACATACAGATATTATAGTTGAGAGAGAGAGAGCGAGTAAATTAAGAATATTGTTATTGTCACATTATCATTTGCAACATTGTCCACACAAAGATAAGTCAAAGTATGAATAATAAATTTTACAGCAAACATTATTGCAAATAAATGATTAGTTTGGAATGTTCAAAACAAAAAGAACTAGAATTATTCAAATTTCAAACCTGTGTAGTTGGCGATAAACGTTTATTTCAAATTCAATAAATTTACTTTACTTTCAGATCTTTGATTAAAACAATTTAGAATGTTAATTTTAAAACTGAATAAAAGATAAACAATTCAAATATTTTCAGGGATATTTATTTAGTAAAACTTATATACATCCTTTGAAATCATCAATCAATCATTGTTAGACCACCATTAGAAACCTGGAAGCACTGGACGGCCGTTTCGTCCTGGTATGGGACTCATCAGCAGTGCGCATCCACGACTCCTGCTCCTCGCAGGATTCGAATGTGTAAAAACGCAAACCTCCAAAACTGTGCCCCAAAATTATATACATCCCTATTTAAAAGCAACAAACCTGTAAAATTTTCTATTCACTTTTTTATAAACCAAAAATCAATTGGTAGTTACGGAGATGAATTAGTGTCAGATGAGAAATTGCTGACAAAAGATTTCATTTAATGTTCTGGACTTTTCAACAGTACGTATTGTCGTCATGCTATAGCATGAGATTGCATCTTACATCCTTGAATTGTATCAAGAGGAAAACATACAATCAGGGTTACTGAATTACAACAAATTCAGTATTCATCATTTTCAGCTACACAGTGAATTCATAATATAATTTAATGCCTAATTATTGTTATCTTTGCTTTAATTTATCATAATTCTCTACTTTGATAAACTCTGCTGTTAGATAGAAGAAGAAATTTTATTACTTGTCAAATAAATTTCGTATTTTATTTATTCTCTAGAAATAGTATAGTATTAATTATGATACAAAATTGTCTGTAGCAACAATTACTTACTATTGCTTTCGGTGTACCTAATCCCATGTATAAGTTTTCAGTTTGTAAATCATCTGAAGATGGTTTATACACAGAAATTTGACCTGAATCCAAATCGACCAGACGTGTTCCTGCGCTTAAATGCTGTTTCGCCTTCTGACAATCATCAACATGATGATGATGATGATGTTTATTAATGATTTTACAAAAAAAGGAAACGAAAAAAAATACGAAGAATGAGTGATTGACCAGTTGAACGAATAGAAAATATTTGGTAGGGAAAATGAGGTTTCCAAAATAATCAACCATATCACGAAGAAACTGATATAACAGAAAGATAATGATAATAGAAATAACGAAAAATTGAAATCTGAAAAAAATTTTGATAACGTAATTGAGAAGGATGGGTGATGATGGAGGAGTAGGAGGAGGAGGAGAAAAACACAAAGGATAGACTTACCTCTAAATTGCAAATATGTATACCGGCCACAAATGGAACTGGACATCTAAACAGTTAGGCTATGGATAGTAACCGATTAAAATGCACTCAACTTACTCCAAAACACCAAGTACTTTTTCTGGAATTAGTGGATAAAATGAGTGAGCCCTAAAATTCAAGAAAAAAAATATTTAAAATGAGCAATACCTGAAGAAAAATTGGTTTTATTTTGAATATATATTATTTAATTGTACAGATTATCAAGGTTTTTTCGGCTCTTGTCAGTCCATGGTTTAAAATGATATTTCAGCGACGATATCTTAGCACCTAAAGTGAACTGACAATATGTATCTTAAACAAGATGAGCAATGTAAATGATTTATTAGACGATTTGATATGAAAATATATAACCATCTTACATTATGAGGCTAAGGTGCATAGATCATAAACTAACGACCATGTTCTAATGCACTAGACATCACCTACTAGTATGGATCATTAAAGGTTAACTTAAAATGAAACTGACCATAATCACTTAATATCGGACTCGTGTGATATTTTACTTATAAGATACAATCCAATTTTCTTATTAATTTTTCAATGAATAGCAAAAAAAGATAACTACACTTAATTTGAAACAATATCTACCTGTACAGATACAGTTTTGTTTAACTGTATTCATCACTAGGATCACAATTGTGCCGTTTAGGTTTTAATATTTTCCTTTTTATATTTTTATTGTTATCCTCTTTCTTCATTAATTCATTAATTTCTAATATTTTCGGTTAAAATTTATTATTTTTCATTGTGGTTTTTATTTTATTATAAACTTCGATTATTGCATCCATGAAGAAAGCCTCTGTATAGTCTCAATAACATTCATCCAAACAAATTGTTTTAAATAAAATCACACCATTTTATCTTTCGCTATCATTTTTGACCTTTTTCTAGTTGATCATCTAATGATTCATCTAATTTTACCACTACAACATTCCATTGACTACTTAATGTGTTAACCAAAAACCTAACCACAATTGGTGATCAGATTTATTATGCTGATAATAACAGATGACATACAGTTTTTTTTACAACTGTTTAGAAAGAACAAAAACTTGCACGCACTCACTCAAAGACACACACAAACTGAATATTGTTTAAGAAAAAAAAATATAGAACGAAATGCTTGTTTTCGTTAAAATATTTGGCTTTTGTACTTACAATCTCAATCAATTGCAAAAAACAATATTACTACTGTACTTTACAAATGATCATTCAGTCAGAAATGAGTAAAAGAGCAGAGGGATAAAATATTGAAATAAAAATTTATTTTTGACAAGCAGGTGACAGTGCCGTTTGAGAAAAAAAACAAATCACTTGGAATTCCAAAAAAGAAAAAAAAACTGAATAAAGATTGCATGTCATTCTTTAAATAGAATAAAGTATGTTGATACAATAATATAGGCTTAGAGATCAAGTATTGATTTTTAATCTAAGTTTTGACCTAATAACAATATGGTGTAAAGAAAAAAAGCAACAACCAATCTGCGGAATTCGGAATTAAAAAAATTGATTGATTTTTGCTTTGTCTTACCATTTATTAAGTTTAGTCTATAGAAAATTGTTAATTATGAGGAATGAGCGGGATTTATTGAAAACTCAATAAAGCAGTAGCTAACACGCAACTCTTCAATGTTGAAACCGAAAAAATATGATATCAGTGCAAATGTTGACTTGATGTATGAGGAAAACAAAATTATAGTGAAGCAATATATATACAAGTAATCAGAAATTAGTTAAGGTCAAGTGAAAATACAAATTAAAACAAACGTACTGGGAGTAGACTAGTTATTTATTACCATAGAGAACTAAAACTTATTCACAACACTAAATAGCCTATGATCTTCTTAGCAATGTTAGGGAGTTGTAAAATTGACCAAAATATACTATTCTTGTTGATAATTGCTAATGGTCAGAAAGATTAACGTTTGAAATATTAATTGTTGAATGATATTAACCTAGTGGTTGTAAAAAAAACTAACAAAATCGTCATGAGATATGAAAGTAGTAAGTTCGAACGCATGTACAATTGAAGTCGTGAACACGTTCTACAAATTAGGAAATGTAAATTCTTATTTAGTGCCGGTCAATTTCTTATGTTATTTACTTTTAGATCTTCAGAGTAAACAATCATCTCACAAACGTTCCTTTCTAATTATTTGTGATATTACTTTAAAAAAGTAACGTTCTTTCTATTCAACGTTGGTCAAGTGATTACAGAAAAGCTAGATACATTTCTGAATTTATTTCGTTTTTAAAGTTAACCATATATTTTGCATCAGACTGCTTGATTAACTGCACAATTCCATATAACAACCGGAAATATCAGCTTAAAGAAATGTGTATTTTAATGAGATTGAAATAACAATGATTAAAAATATGGTACCTAGAAGGTACAGATGAATAGAAAGTGAGAAAAATGAGGAGAAAATAAATAATAATTTACGGTTCGACTTGAAAAATCTGCTGAAAATTCCAAATATCATTTAATCTAAACGAGCGTCTCAATTCAACAAATAAAGCCGAAAATTAATAAAATACTTCTCTCTGGTTACATATAGTGGTTTTTTTCTCGTTACATAACAATTATTTATTGATTAACGAAACCCCTGTCCAAAAACACGGTGATAAAAGCATTAAACAATAAAATGAAATAGATAAAAATTAGAAATATCATCCGAATTCCAACAATTTTATCACACACCAAAAAACATCCATATTTCTATGTTAGAGGCGAACTAGAAAAAAAGGCTACAAGAAAAAGTAGGCATTAGCAATTGAAAAAAAGTAGAATCAAAGAAGTTTTTTCTTTCAGAGCCCTATATTTGATGAGGGTGTGAATTGGTTAGGCAAAATGTGACTAATAACATATACAATTATAAAGGGGGAAATAATTTCATTCTACCAACAATAAATGTTAGACGTGAGACATTATTACATTTTCGTGTCGATATTCTGACAAATATAAGCTATTTTTATTAGTCTAATCGCAAATTCAAAAAATATCAAAGTTTTCACTAATTTAGCGATTCATGTCTTTACACTTTTTCAAAATGTTCCCATCTCTTGGAACTGTAGTCATCATTTCATACTTTAATTCCCAAAAACATGACTGAGTTAGATAACCACTGAAAATCAGGAAGTAAATTAAAATCTTTTTGTTCTAGTATGGGGACTACTTATCAATGTACACCAATGTACTAATCACGTGCACACTAGTGAATAACTTTAAAGGATTATCCATGTGAAGTTCTATTGACAAACCATGATGAGATCGAGTTCGATTGTCTCGAATGTGAAGAAGTCACACACTAATAGCGTTAAAAGATAGTTACCGAATTTCACGAATTGATTGAAATTGAAAATGTAATCCATTGTTTACTGGTTCACTGGTTCATCACGAAAATTTAGAGACCTGAGTTCCATCGCTGATGGATCTGTGAATGAAGACTACATTAGAGTCCCATATGGGGATGAAACAGACAACCAGTGCTTCCTAGTTTAGTTTGTGATGTTAACAATAAAATCCAATAATCTTCACAAAATTGTTGCACCAATATTATCACTACAATTCACCATATACAGAATTTATGTTCCTAGCCTTAAGTTATTTTGATCCATATGAAATTATCAAACTGTTTTAAAAGAAGTAAATAGTAAAACATTGACATCTGTCAACGATTGGTGATGATAAGTTAAGTTCTTAACCCATCAATAGTTAGTAATTACTGTTACTAATATGCTTAATAAAAAAATTCCCCCATGATCGTTTTAGATAGCTAATATCATGTTCATTTGCTTTAGATTATTATGCACCAATCACGTAATTTGTACTTTTATGACTGGGAAACACCAATAAGCTGTACTACTTCATTTATGCTAGATTTGAAATTATAATTGCTAAAACAACATGATGTCTCTAAAAACAAATTAATCTTCATATGAAAGAAACAGAGTATGGAGAATGAAACGAATTCACTTTATCTAATATCAAGTTTATTGTTCCTCTAGTAATGTTTATCATTGGATAAGATTTTTAGCTACATAAATCATATGTTACATTTTCTTAGATTTTATCATTAGAACGAACTCACTATAGTAAACGAACTATGTTCTAGGTTTAATAGTCTTATTATAGTAGAGTTTTGTTCTCAGAGCTAGATGACTTGGTCGTGAAAAGTTTCCTTTAACATTACAAAATACAGTGTGAGTATGGGACGAGCAAATACTTCTGTTAAGTAATCTATAGAAGTAAAATAACTATTTGTTATGATGTGAGGTGTCCGACGATTGAAAGCGATACGTGATAAACCCCTAAACTGGCTACTGAAGTTGGAAAGCGATAGTGGAAGCGAAAGTCTACTAAGGTATTGAATAATATACACTAATATAATATATTACTCCCCTTAGAAAATAAATCCATTTCCTAACCACTGATATGCACTGGTCCTTAAGAACATTTCTGATGATCATCAAACGGACTTCCCATTTGGCCATCTCTGATTGGCTTAGTATTTTTTATTATTTAATGCTCACTTGTAGTTAATAGCTTCAAAAATGACATCAGATCGAAATGAAAACTATTAACCTCTATTGCTTTTTTTAGTAATCATGAGACTGGGAGCATTCACATTAAAATCATTTAGTTATCTACGTTAAAGTCACAATAAAAAGTTGAATATTGAGCGAATTGTTGACAAAACATCAGATCGGTTCAGATTAATTGATGCTTAATCTTTAAATAGTCTAATACAGAAATGGATTCATGATAAATCATCATGTGATTAAATGAGTTGGATGTCATGTTACATGTATATTGTAAAACATGCTAACATATTACAAAAAAAAGATCTTGATTCAATAAAAAATTCAGTTCAGAATACTAAAGTGTGACTCTCAAAAATAACATTTTTTTCTGCTCATTAAATTATAAAAACAAGAAAAACAGTGCATCAGAGAAAAAATTGAAATGCTAGGGAAATAAGTAAATGGTGTAATTAAAATATGCCGAAGTCAAATAATTTTGTGTGAATTTAGAAGAAATATTAGTCAAGTTGTTTAGTAATTATAATTCAGAATTATATTCATTGATTGATCAATGAGTAGTAATC